ATAAAGAACCCAAAAGTATTGCACGTACATGTACATGTACATGATACATGTACATGTAGTCCTACAAGACTATACATGTACATGTACTAATAACCTACCGGAACTTTTTTCTTTTTCATTTTTCTCCCCTGCCTGTCGACCTACATACAGTACATGTACATGTACATCAGTAAAAAAATTAAAAATCTTTGAAAAAGTGGCTTTGTTTGTACCAACATGTACATATAAGCCCTTGTTAAGGAACAGGACATGTACATGTATATGTTCGTACTGAAGGGTATGTGGGACCAAATGTCTCCAAGTGCATTTGTCCTTACGGTACATGTACATGTATATCATTTACCATATATTCTTCATAAAATGAACCAAAATGCAACTCTGGATGTCATTTTCAAAAACTTCTAAAAGCGTGACTTTGCTCATGTAAAATACAAATAGTACCTTCAGATTTATAAAAATGATAACATGTACAGGGCATAATGTGTACGTTTGGTGGACATTTGGCTGGCTATCAGTAGAAATCAAATGGAGTTGAATTTATTTAAAGTTTTACATCAAAGTGTTTACACCAGAGGACTTGATTTCAAAAATTCTCTCAACAAGGAGAATTCAGTATATTTTTTGACTGATCTATTTTAAAGCACCTAACAAACAACTTTAGAAGATATACATGTAAGCCATGAAAAAAAGCACAACATTGACGGAAAATGATGAGAAAAGTTTGGCTCTCTTCATTCTCTTACCGTTTATAATCACTCTCACTATACCAACATTCATTGTATCTGCCAGGTCTTATACCTTTCAACCATCAAAAAGTTTGGCTGCATCAAAAATTTATAATAAGTACAATATGTTCATTGCGAACGTCCTACTTGACAGAATTTTGATGACATTCGAAAATTTTGACAAGAAAAGCATGAGGTTATGTACATGTACATGTATGAGAATGCCGAAATTGCTGTCACATGTAGTGCTTGAAAATTCCATGCGATACTTATTTTGGAGATATCCCCGCTGAAAATTAAATTAAAATTAACAACTTTGAGCATTACATTTTCTTCATGAATCATATTTTATGTCTCGGACGTCATTTTTTTTCGAACGTCCTTCAGAATGACCAATTTTGTTTCGAGAAACCTTGGTCCGAAGAAAAAAATCACAGAGCATGGTGGAGGGGCTCGTGAATATCGCATGAAAAAGAAGGCGCACTACATGTATCTGGATTGATATCAAAGGTCAAACAAACGGCACGGCGAGAGAATGACGGAAGCTGCAAAATCGCCACCATCGGTATTTTACACTGCGGTTTTCAGAAACGTACTTGAAGAAAATGTGATTGGCCCAGTGGTAAAAGGATGACGGTTTGGTGGTGCTTTTTTGCACTTTTTTTAAAGCATGTTGTACATCGATTTGGATTTTACTCACTGTTTTTGCAGTCAATTTTTTGGACACTAATGACAGAATCGAATGACATTCGCGACTGCCGACTTTGGGACCTGATTAATTGTGAGAGGTAATATGTATATTTTAATTTCGTGATTATGGTTTCTATATGTGTAAATATTATCACCTTTTGCCACATATAAATCTGTGTAAAATATCCGCAGGGATTATCACTCCTTAGTAAATTTTATTGGCTAGGATTTCAACAGGTTGTTCACGTCCATCAAAACTGCTGACGTTCGAGACTTTAATTACCTCCAATTAAGATGAAAGATGGACACAGTTATCATTGCTCCATATATCAGGCATGACTTCCCTCATTACATCAGACATTGTACATGTACCATAAATACCGCATACCTAGCAATTAACCAGGTTCTCTCAGGTATAATTACATCGATGGAGTTGAGCATTTAAGAACCTTATACAATGCCATCGATTGTTGTGCAGTACATACACCCATGTACAGCATACAATTAACAAATTAAAAATACAAAATGTATCACAAATTCATAAGGAAATAAAACTACATTAAAGCATTGAATATTGCTTCGTGCGAGCTATTAAATTCCCCTGTTGACATTTTTAATTTGGACTGTACTATACATGTACTTTCCTCTGAACAAAAATTCAATTACATACCGGTACATGTACATACATGTATGTACAGTAGGTCTAATTAGAAAAAAAAATCTCATAAAAGTTGGCTTCGGCCTAGGCCTAAATGTACATGTACATTGTGGATCCCTCCCAAAAAACAAATTTGGAAACAACCCCCAAAACTGCAATACTACAAGGCCTGCAAGTAAGCCCTAGACCTACATGTACATGTACTGGGTACAAGTAGGCCTAAGGCCTACTAGTTTGTACTGGATTTCTAGCCCTCACTCAACATGCTCAATTAAAGAGTTTCCCAGCTTTACTGGTGCCTGTTCCAATGCTATAGGCCCAACTGAGGCAGCTGGAGACTTCCGAGTGGAGATCATTTACTTTTAAGGGCCTGTTTGTTTCGCACAGATCTGGATAGCGATTAGGGATCCTCGCACCATCCATTAGGCGGGTTTAGGTGTCCGTTTTCTGTAAACTAATGACAGAGCACTGATCGTGATCCAGATCCATGTGAAACAAACAGGGCTTAAGGAAATCGCAATCCCTGCCGAATGCTATTCTAACCATCAAGACTCCCTCTAGAAATCTCACAGTTCGCAGCATTAAAATTGTAAGCATTCAAAAATTGTGCTCAATGTTATATATGTGGGGTAATGATGGCTTTGTTCAGTAACTTTGGGGGTGTACTTAGTAATACTTGTTATGTTTTGATTTCTTATGGAAATGTTTCTGGTCTCATTTTTAAATATTTTTGGAGGGGTGGTTGCCCTCCTCATTTTTTTTTTGGGGGGGAACAAGTTATAACTGAGTGAACTGACATTCCTTTGTAAACTTTGAAGTAAATAAAAACAGACATCACCTTATTGACACAGTGGACTGCACAGTGAAGATTCCAAAATGCATGCAACGACGGCTGGCCACATTGACCAGCGTCAGTTGCCTGACCATGCATGCACATGCGAGACGTCAACGTGTCTCACATTAATGCCATCCCACTGGCATGTAAGGAAGGCAGTGTAGCCAAAATTACGTGACGAATACATGACGAAGAAATCAAATTATCAGATTATAGTTCAAGTTAATTACAATAATATGCTCTGAGCAAGCTCTGATTCCTGTGAAGGTACATGTACGAGTTGTCTTGTCAGTTGTGTTTACCATTGTTTACAGGAGGTACGGTACGAGTTGTCCAAAGTGCGACTCGGCAAAGGTACATACGAGTTGGTACAGTTAGGCCTATGTTGAGTTGATAGTGCGAGTTGTCCATCATGTCCATAGTACCAGTACAAGTTGTCCAAGGTACAAGTTGACCTGTTCCCCATGATGTACATGTAACCATGATAATGTTACTGGTAGGCTAACCATGCTAACACGTTAACCATATTAACTGGTTAATGTTCTGGGCCTAAATTGGAAGTTTGAAAGACCTCGGACCTAATCTGCTAAGGCCAAACAAAAAACTAGTTGTGCCTCCTGTTAGTACTGAAAAATAAATTAGGGACAATTAGGGTGCTTCGTTGGGTAAATTGTGTTTTTTTTACTCTAAATTTTTATAGCCCAAAAGATTGGGGTTAGATGATGATCTGTATTTGGGGGGGGCACGTATATTTGTAACAGGTACTAGGCCTAAGTCAGTGTCAGATTAATACTATACATGTGCACGTGCATGTACACCCCCCAGAACTGTGGGGCCCGACATCTGCTCTGCTCTACAAGGGAGCGGAGTGGACGTCGGACCCCACAGTTCTGGCCCAAATCTGGGGGTACAATGTACGTCAATATTGCATAGGCTCAGCACTGTGATTGAGTAGTAAAGCAGAACTGGTTGTTGAAAAATAAACACATAAGAGCAAGGGTTGGCTTGCGCCACGAATTAATAAAGCCAAAGATTATCGTATTGCCGTCCATCTCATGAAAAAAAAATAAATTAAACAATAATGTACGGGACGATGTACACAAAATTAGGCTCTGAGCAAGGCACCATAAGTTTTTTATATTTTATTGATTTATCAAATAAAAAGATAGGCCTATAGGCCCCTAGGTTCCGCCTGATTTTCTAGGTTGGTCAGGTAACCCGGTACGGCGGTAGGCAGTGGATACATGTATTTAGCAGGTGACGGCTAAAGTTCCAAAACAATATTTGGCCGGGACGTGTTTTCATTGGCCAATTCTCATTACGTCATCAGACTATGACGTTTTCCTTAGTCTGGTTCTACACTTTCATTAACCCTACCCTTCCCAAACTACACAGAATTAAACAGTAGTAAAGTGTTTAATTCTGTGGGGATAGGTCTGGTAGGCCCATAACAGCTGGCATTTGCATTGGGTTTGGCATACCTCAGAAAAACAGTCCAACAGCCTCTGTGCACAAAGTCCCATTTGGGTGTTTAACTTTGTGTGAATGGGGAAGGTTAGGGCCAGCAACCCTTGGCAGCTTGGGGGTAAAGGTTAATGTACGGTAGGGGTGGATATCAAACCTACAAAATTTCAGACTTCTATTTCCCTTTAAAAAAAATCCTCCAAAACCACAAAAAATAGAAAGAAATGGATGTAACCTTAATTAAATTTCAGATTTTTATTTCTTTAAAAAAAGGCTACTCAGTACTGTGCTAGGAAAAAGAAATTAAAAAAAAAATTCTCCATTGGGGTTTGAACCTGGAGCCTCGTGCTCATGCAAGCATTCAATTTATCCTATTGATCTACTGCAATGGGGGTATTTTCTACTGTGTATACATTCGGAAACACATCCCGGCAAAATAGCTTTGAGAAACTTTTGCCGTCGCTGGCAAAATATAATAGGATACATCCAACCCGGTAACCAAAATTCAGAAACACAGCTATTTTTTTGTTGGGCCTAACCATGATCAGATCATGATCAGGTAATAAGGTATGGTGTGTGTTTCATTTAAAAGGAGTGCCCCAAATGGCAAAAACGAACTCAAACTCACCAAACACGAATACAACAAGCGTTTCATCTTTTGAGACCTCCTCTAGGCCCACATGCGGTCCAACCCGTATGCTCACTTTCGGCCTTCGGTGAAAAAAACCATGCTCCTCCTCCTTTCGTCCCTCCGTTTCTGAGCTATTTCCACAACCCATGACGATAATGTCTTACATCTGGAGAGCATAAGACATCCCTCGGTCGTATTCAGATTGTTTTTGGCGCGTATGTGTTTTCAAGCTCCCAAACAGTGGCTACAAACTTGCAGAACTGGCCGTGGAGCTTCGCATTGAACGTCAGCGAGCGCGCGAGTAAACAAATTCTTGTGTGTTGCAGACGGGTAATTTATTTTTGACTGACCTATTTTCCAAAATGGCGGATGTTGCATCTAGTCTCGTTCCAACAATATAAACTACATTATTCTTTGCTTTAACCTCCAAGTTTTAGATACGTCACTGCACGAAACTGAACTATTGCAGTACAGGTAATTTATTTATTGTTCAATGAAGATGGTTATCCAAAATTTATATATGATAAAATCTTCCGTGTATAAATACCCTGGCAGTCATCTTAATTATGGGTGAAATCATTCGATAAATAGGGGCGCCTTTACATCTGTTGTAGAAGATAAAAACAAAAAAAGACCCAAACATTCTTTAAAATGTATTTATAAAACACAGGGCTTAACCCATGATTGATCTATTCTAAAGTTGTACAGCTGACAGATTTACACACACATAATTCAAGCTTATCTAATTAATTTCAGAATCGTACAACGGCCTAAATGGTAACCGTACCTTCGAGTGTGGACTACTCTCGGTAACTTTCAACCAATTAGTGAAAGGAAAATTTTGGCAAACTTTAGTCTGGCCAATCCACATCGATCGGTGCCGGCCTATTCACAAAAACATCGGCGTCCATTTGGGGCTGATTCCAACCTTCCAGTAGACTCGACTCTAGTCGGGATCTGTGTTAAGTCTTGGTTTCTGCTTTGGATACATATGTCGAGACCGCGCGCCGTCACCTGCTTCGCGCCCTCTTGTGTCCACTTACGGTATTACTATGAGTTCAGTTCAGAAATCCGGACTGGTGACGCATGACACACATTGTACAATGAAGGCTATCAAATGATATGCAAAGTAGTACCAAATTAACCTAAAAATTCAACAACAACAACAACATTTATTTCCATAATGCCATGTATGGAATATGACGAAAATACATGTAGAAAATTATGACAACAAAATAAATTTAAGTAAAGATACGAAAAAATTAAGCAGACAAAAAGACGGAGCTGTACGGCAAAAACGGAAGCATTATCAGAAAGACTAGGTCTTCTATAAACATGCATTAAACAAAACCGGACAATGGATATCACAGCGCCTTACATGTATGAGGGTTAAGCTAGGTGCCGGGCCGAGCGGGACGACCGTGTAGTGAGCACGAGCCCAAGAGATAACTGACTAGTATTAAAGTCCGACTTGATTCAAGTCTAACCTTCCAGGGAATAGCAGCATAGCCAGGTTCTAAATGTAGCAGATGGAGCGACTGGGCTGTACCGTCCAGGGGCGTATCCAGGTTTAGGTGTCGGGGGGCAAATCCAAAAGTGAACGCGGCTCTGGGCGCATTGAACATGATGTTGTGGAGAAAAAGATCAAAAGCCTTGATATATTTATTACTTGCCTCATGGACGTGTTAACAATATGTGGTAGTGCGTAAACACAGGAATGGCTGATGGGTTTAAGTGTGACGCTTGCCTCAATACACCTCTGGATGAAGGCTCATCATTCAAGGAGCCCGGAGGGGGTGTGCCTCCCCCAAGCAGCTGCCCCCTCCCCATTGACAAAAAGCCATGAGAATCAAAATCATCGGTTGGTTTTGTGATGTGGCCCCCCCCACCAGCTGGTACTGAGCGACAGTCCCTTCCCGCACCAAGCTGACGATGACAGGGCTTTGCCGATGAAGACTTAACCACCTAATGCCCATTGTTCCGCACACACATGCAAAGACCGAGAGACTGAATTCGCCTGCTGTGCATGGCCTGTTGCGGTGGCAAAAGGCATTTAACATAGAAAAATATGAGGTTGCAGTGAGATGTTCCGTACAAATACTGCTCCAATATCTCTTGCAAATTGGTCTTTCAGGCATTTGGTTGTGTATCATAAAAGTTGGCACCCATTATCTTTCCGTTTTCAAAAATCCAAATTTTCACCCAAACAATAATACCCCCCCAGCTCCTCAAATAAGCTGTCCAAACTCCCTGCAGCTTGTTTCCTGTGTTATCAACAACGCCACTCTGTTCCATTCATAATACAAAGTCTGTTATGCATTACAACGACACTTGAAGTGGCTGAATCCAGTGCACGTCTGAACAAATATAGATGTACTCGTGGTTAGCAGATGTGTACACTTTCCATGAATCCATGAAAAAGGAAGATTGGTCATCCTTTTCTTGCCAACACTCTTGAGGGGAAAGAAAAGACCATGTTTGTAGGCTTGCTGAAATCATGGCAAAAACGGTCAGGTGCCTTTATCATCTGCTCACTCTGTTCCCATTTTCTTTGGTTTGGTCAAATGAGGGTGGCTGATGACGTTGGCAGAGTCACTGGGCACACTCGGTGACCATGTATCTCAGCAGGACGGACACCACGTGAACATTCAGGCTGTTGCCTAGGCAGCGGTATCGCTGCCTCCTTGTTAGCTCGACTGGAAAATCTGTAAAAGCAGTTGTGAAAACAAGAAAAATGGGATCCATTTTATTGTGTGCGAGAAAGTATGCTCAAGTGCTGCCCGAATACCTGCCTTGAGCAGAAGCCTACCCCTTATCGGTTGAAAAGAGCAATGTTAGCCGCGAGTGATCATTTTGTTGTCAACGATGTACCCATAACACATGCATTTCACAGTTGTTTGTGAACTAGCTAAGTACAGTTCCAACCAAAAGAGCCTCCGATCTGTTGCTAGGAAAATTGCACCCTCTCTTGGTCAAGTTTGGGATTCATTCACTCAAAACTGCTTGCAAGTTATATTAATTGCATTATCCCCCAAAACTTGGCTTTCCTTGAATTACTTTTTCAAGAAGTTTGTTCCTTTTAATGCCGAGGGGGATAGGACGAACTACCCCTGTTCTCTGCCCCACTCCCCCCCACCCTGATCCACTAATGGTAGAAAATCAGTCTTACAGCTTCACTCACGGAGAAGCTCTCTGCACATTTAAATCTTTTTATGTTTCTCTGGGATTGACCCCAGGTTTACATCCTCACCAAAATCTGCCGGAAAGTGGTGCAAGTTGGCGATCTCTCTTGATGTGAAGTATCGGATCCTAAGACGGCGCAGTTGCTCCAGGTACTCCTCCGTGATCCCCTCAATCTCTTTGCTGCAGTTCTTTAGAAGAGGCCTTCCCTAAATGACGGGTAAAAGGCAAGACATTTTTAAGTCAACTGGAAGATCAAATCTTGCTGTAGACTTTGCTAAATTTGCTTTGGGAATGTCTGATCAAGTCCATCTTTGGCGTACTTCGTGGTGATAACAAATAGTTCACTGAGCACTTTCCAGGACCTTGTGGGACAAAGATTCACCAGCTGAATCAGGATTGGAACCTGTGACTTCTGCAGTCATCTATGAACTGGGACTTATGGTTACGTTAATGATGCAACAGTGAATCTTTAAGCCTTTTTATATTTCAAACGTAAAATGGAAAAGAGCCCTCTGTATTTGCAGAATATTTTACCTCACTGATTCAGAAGTCTTTGGTGCCAAAAGAAAAGTATAATAGAGTACCGACGCGTGCCATGTTTTTGAAACAGAAATTACAGTGCAAACAGAGAGAGTACGTATGTCTGTACGTATGTCTGTTGGTTCACACGTTGATCCTCGCGCTAATGCCTTTTACATACATTGGTACTCTACAACCAAGTATATAACAGTATAGATGTACATCATTTTTCAACAACTAGCACCAACCAATCAAGAGCTTCCATGATAAAATGCAAGGTATTGCATTATTTCAAAGAGATGTTACTACAAAACCATACATATCTTCAAGGGTGTCAGGAGGGAACAGTGAAAAGATTGACAATAAAGTCACCCAGTCTGTTTAAAAATACTGTGAAATTGACCCCAGACCACCGATAATGGTTTATCAGTTGCTTTTATACTGTTCAGTGTTCTTTCTTCCCCCCTACGCAAAATCTTCCCCCTTGGAAAACGGTACTTCCCCTAACTGGAAAAACTCCTACCAACGCACATGCATACATCTACAAGTTCACAGAGAGCCCCACACACAGGTGAACGTAGGCATCTGAATGATTAGGCTATACAACACACACACATGCCTAGAGAAGCAAGCACGAGGGGCTGTGGCTACCTTCCCTACTCATGCATCTATTATTGAAAGTCACAGCCAAGACGATCAAACACAGCCTTAGATTTAGGAAGAGTTGATGAATGTTTCTTGAAAAACAATTTTTTTGGAAGGTGGGAAGTAAAAGCAATGTAGTTAAGCTGGCCTAACCTGTGTAGTGTTGTTCATCTGAAGCAGAGAGCCAGTGCCTTCCACATAATGACCATATCTGACAAACCAGGCAAAAAAAGGGGAAATCTGACACTGTCAAAGATCTCCTACTGCAGAGGGAAGCTGCGAGCGGGAGATATGATCATTTTCAGGCATGGTGCAAGAAGCAGCCAACTGATAACCATCCTCACATACCAGCGTCCCTTCTGATTGGGATAATTCCTAAAGTGGGGCAAGTACACTGTACGTGTCAGGATCTTAGGGCCAGATTAAGGACTCATTTGTTTCACGCGGATCTGGATCTCGATCAGAAATTCTGACGTGGCTTCAATGACACCAGAGCCTGCCCAATGGAAAGCGCGAAATCAGCTTTGGGATCACCGATCATGATCCAGATCTGTGTGAAACCAAACAGGCCCTAAAAGTAGGGCCTAGGCACCAACATTTCATGTAGGTCCTCCTCCACTCTACCAGCTGACCCAGGGAGACGCCACTTAGGCTAATCCAGAGAGCAGAAAATACTATAGGGCCACCCTGTTTGCATGCAACTGGTACGTGCATTACATTTCTCTCAGACCAATAGGGCGTTGCGACTTGCCAAAATGCACCTGCTCAGGTTAAGACTCGTACGTGACACAGGATTGGCATCTCCTGCTGCAGTGGCTTAATGCTCACAGGTGTATTCCTCAACATGTGTCAGCCACACTGGGGCAAATCGGACCGCGTCATATTGATCAAGGTGGTCTTCGAAATTTAATCATGATGCCACCACAGTGGCTTCTAAATTTTGATTGCCAGGGTAGTCCATCGAAACCAGCTCAAATTTCATAGTGCCGATTTCGGCCGGCCAACCTGAGAAAGTCGGAGTGTGCATCCAGCTCCCATGAATTAGCATAATGCGCATGCAGTTTGTATACATGTAATGCTTTATACATAGCTAATACACACACACTGTGCCATGAGCCCCAACTTTCCCGCATGTGATTTATGCTCGCACCCGACTTACGCTCAGAATTGCTAGGGTAGACATATGCCAAATTTGCCAAGAGCAGATGTGGTCGAACTTCTTTACAGCACCCTGTCACAATTACAGCCTATAGGCCAGGCATCTGTGTGTGCATTACAGGAAATAAAGTCCAAACCCTGTCTTCAGCAAAGGACTTTGTCGTCAAATTTTGTATTCCTGGCAATCCGGTGGCCAGATGCAACAACTCAGGTTCCAATCAGGCAACCAGCTTAATGCAACCAAACCCAATACTGCTGAGATGACAACCCTGCCGAATGCCACGTGATCCCACTCTACACAAATAGTAAACATTTAAGACTTTAGTTTGCTACGAATAGTGTCAGAAGGTTACAAAGCACTCTTTTTTCAAAGCTCTGCTGCACTTTCGAAGGTTGGCATTCAATCACGCTCCCCCCACCCCCAACCTCTCCCCCAACCTCTCTCCAATCCCTCCAACTGACTGATTACCAATTTTCACTCACGCCTTGGTGAAGCATCTAGTGTGGCTGTCCGTTGCCACGACAACATCCATGATGCGGGCAAACCTCTTCAGCAGGACGTCCAGGAGGAGCAGCTGCTTCACCTCATCTTCTGGGAGATTCTCCAGGTAGTCGCCCACCTTCTTGCCCGAAACTGGCAGTCCTTCCTTGCAAGGCTTTTTCAGAGCGCTTAGAGGGTCACACACTGTGGGTTCATGATTCTGAGTGGATGAGCGACTTCTGCTGGCTGTACATCGACAAGGTTCATCCATCACGCCCCCATCACTGAACTTTTCACTTGAAGACTCATAAGCAGATGGACTGTAGCCTTTTGGCAAGTCTTTTCTCAAACAATTGGACAAAACAGACACCTCTCCAGCCCTACTTTCCGCCTTACTGCAGCAAATGCAATTGGAATGCACATTGTCATGGCCTGCATTCTCGCCAGTCACAATATAATTATACACTGCGACAGACTCTTTCATGTAGTCTCCAGACTGGGTGTCTTCTGTCTGATCTGTGACAACATTTGGGTTACTTCCTTCATTGCAACAAGCGAGGCTGGTCTCATGCACATGAAGCTTGCTAGTTCTTGGTTTAGCCTCACTGTCATCCTGGCTGTAACCTATAGGCACTCTCTCCAAGTCATCTACCAGTAACTCACTTTCACTGTCGGCTGTAACGGCAACACCTTTAGGGGCAGCAGATTCAGTTTTCAGACAATTTGGATCATGGGGCATAGCGGAGTTGACCCGCTGCTCCCGCAAGACCTGGTGCTCCCGCGTTGAAATGAGGGCGGGGCTGAACACTAGAGGGCGACGTTTGGCGACGAGGAAGTAGCGGAGGCGTTGGTTGGGAATGCCAAAGTGCGTTGGGGAGAGAAGGAACTCCTGTTTGACAATCATCACAAGAGAAACATTTTTTATTTTGTTTCCATAACCAACGGCAAAGAAATTGCCATTTACAGGTTAGGTATTAAAAATAAATATAAATACAATATAATAAGAAGAAGGACATAAGCACTTACAGCTTTTTGCCGGGAAACATGAGCACTGAAAAAAAACTTTTCCTGGCAAAAAGGACGTATGTATGCAACTGTTTTATTTTAATAAAATATAAAGATTTCTTTGCAAAAAGTTAAAAAAAGTTCCCAAGTCATTTAATAAGTTGTTTAAAGGTTGCTTTTTGAACAACTTACATTGATTTGTAGTAAATTGTACCCGTTTTTACTAAATAAAGAGAGNAGTGTTTCTTACACCCTTTTGCCAGAAACATTTTTTCTGCTATGTTCATGCGTATGACGAACTTTAGATCATACATTCACATCGGATAAGGAGATGAGAGTGGCAAAGTCAACACACCTGGTGGTCATAGCAACAGTTCTCCAAAATCTTCACAAGCTGGGCCCTTTGAGGAAATAAAAGAAAGAGACAATATAAAAGATTGTCCCAAAGTTTGACATAGTTAGTACATTCTTGATGGCACAGCATGTGCCCAGACAGGAGTATTCCAACATTCCACTGGACAAACTGGCCATTCCCACAGTATAGCAGAGACCCTGGCAGCCATTCCCATGGTATGGCAGAGACCCTGGCAGCCATTCCCATGCTATGGCAGAGACCACCCTGGCAGCCATTCCCATGCTTTGGCAGAGACCCTGGCAGCCATTCCCATGCTATGGCAGAGACCCTGGCAGCCATTCCCATGCTATGGCAGAGGCCCTGGCAGCCATTCCCATGCTATGGCAGAGACCCTGGCAGCCATTCCCATGGTATGGCAGAGAACCTGGCAGCCATTCCCATGCTATGGCAGAGACCCTGGCAGCCATTCCCATGCTATGGCAGAGACCCTGGCAGCCATTCCCATGCTATGGCAGAGACCCTGGCTATGCAGCGGTTCAGGTGCATGGCACTGTGTGCATGCTCCACTGGAATGTTCCAATGGACCTCCAGCGTTCCTGACCAACTGGTTCACAAGCACTATTAAAAAACAACAACCATGCTATATGAACATCACTTCGGTTAATTCGGTTAATTCACTTGCTGCTGGGTTTAACTTGAAGTTGCATGACGAGTTCCCAGGGGATTCTCAAGATTTTCTGTTTTTAAATTCTTCAAAAATGCACAACTTCATTTGCTGGATGTTTACACCCATGCTATTGACGCTCTAGTGTTTCAGCTAGGCCTAGGTGCCTTGTAAATAGAGCCCAGATGGTGCGGTGCTGTGTGATTTAACTGGTCCACTGTGCTGCTGGCGTCTTTTTTCAAATGCGGCCAGATTAGCGTGCAGCGGTATTGTATCACTCATCGCTGCAGCACTTTTGTCCCCGGTTGTAATACGTTCACACTGAATGCCACAAATAGTGATATACTGCTTCAAAAAATGACGAATTACCTCCGCTATTGACAACTGAAAAAAAGTTGGCGATTCCCAGCAGCCCGGTCTTTTGTTCAAAGTACGGTCTTTTGTTACAAGGTCCAGCTCCTTTGTCCGGTACCGGGCACCCCGGCATACAAAAGTGGTTAAATGCAGACCCACATACTGTCTCCTTTCATTAATACATTCCCCTTCCTGCCCGTCAAAAGCTCCTTTATAAAGACACGGGACACTCGTACCTGGTGTTGGATCCTTCAAAGCCTTGAACATTCTCCACCAGAATGTAGCTGGGCATTCTGGCCAAGCTGTCACAAACAAGAGAGTATTGGATCAATTCAATTCACAGGCAAAATAAACCTAGGACACAACCTCATCAATTATATTGAGAGACGACTTCCGCATTCGAGTACAAAATGCCAAATAATGGTACTTTAAGAGAAGGTGAAAAACAACAAAGACTGACAGATGAACCACACAATAGGCACAGGATGGATAACCGCCTTCGCTATTCTGTATGGACTACATCTATTTTTATGGCGAAACTACATGTAGCAATATGTTTGGGGTTTTTTTCACAGAATTTGATATTGTGGTACTTCAACCTCGGTTTTATGACACCTGTACAGGGTTAACGCGCTGGTTATTTTGCAAGGCCTGCTGGCACACTCACCGGGGCAGCGTCTGGAGTAGATGCAAGAAACTCTGGGTGCGTGGATCCTGGAGATCTCCCTTCAGACCAACCCTGCAGAAGGTAGATGTGGCAGAGTCAAAAGTTATCACTGTGAATGGACGTAATCCGACAATCAAAAGACAATAGCCGTGCCTCTAAGACCTACTTGATATTTGTTACCTGTACATGTACATGTACCGGTCTGCACAATGGCACTGAACATATTGGACCAATAGCAGGCACAGTTTGCAAGATGACCCTGTGTAAAGAATGAAATACATCCCACCAAAATGAATATGAAGGAAATCGATACTCCACGGTGAAACATGATCCCTGCATCCAAAAGCATGCTGGAATTGATCAAAATTAACATTCACGAAGATGTGTCGGCCAATGAATTTTTTTTTTCTAATTCTCCCACCAGGGCAAGAAAGGAACGGATACACGTATTTAAAAAAAAAGCATGATAGTCTTGCAACTAATTTAGACTACTCCAATGGCCATTGCATGCTCCAAGCTCCAAAATGGGTCATGGGTAAAACTGCACATTATCTTGGACTATCATTGGCCATTTTGGGGTGGAGCTTAAGAGGGTCTTTATTTGTTATGCTACGACCAATTTCAGCTGGGAAAGGAAAAGCTCTACCACACGTACATGTGCATGTATTTACAGTTCAGTTATATGCAATCTGCACGGAGTTGAAGTGCACCCCAAGCGGCAAAAGAAAGACAGACGGTAGTAAGTTTTCCAAGCGCATTCTTGAAGGCGTTCTGCGTGTACGCAAAGACCATACATTAAGGAGTAACTTTCCCCTCACATTGTGATGCCTTTTGGTCAAATCAAGTAAAATATCATCTATTAGTCTCAGTAACCATGGTAACTGATACAGCTGAAAGACGGTCATCTTTTCAGCTAAAGTCGCTTGTGATTTGGCACATGTATCTGATGACATCAATATGAGGTCGCACATACATGTAGAATCAGGGTTGAAGTATCAAGTCTAGGTGCTACGCTATCCCCAAGGAAAGAAATTGTACTGCCCAGCACTTCACCAGAAAAAGTTCCTAAGTCAGCAAATAGAATGGGTACAAAACCAAAGGTGACTGAGTTACACGTACCTACGGAAACAAAAGCTGAACATCCAGGTAATAAGACACCAAACACCAAACTGAAATCCAAAACAAACCCTACCTGGGCAGGTGGTCCTTACCTTGTGAATGGTTGGCAGGGTGGACTCACGAGAAATATGTCGGCATCCAACTCGTTAAACTCCTCCACGGTAATTGACTGTGTGAGTGCAAACATGTACAGAAGAGGCACTGTAAACATGGTAAAGGAAAATCTCCTTTTGGTTGTAACTTCTGTGGCTTTTGAGCAAAAGTATCACTATATGTACAGTAATGCCTAAGTACATACGAGCACTTCCTGAACAAACGGAGAAAGAGAGAGGCTGAGCTGGCATATTCATAATTCAAGCAGTCAGATGAAACTCCCTGAAAGCTGTGTGGCTTGACCTGCACCTACACTTACTGGAACTAGTACGCCAAAAGGTCTGTTTGTTTCACGTGGCTCCGGATTGTGATCAGTGATCTGCTGTTGGTTCACTGCCACTTGACCCCACCTAATGGATAGCGGGAACCAGCTGTGGTATCACTGATCCGTGATTGTGATCAAGATCTGCATGAAATAAACAGGCCCTTAGCTGGCTGGCACCTGTCCTCATTGGAACCAGTGTCTTGGCTGGTACCTGCATGTATACTCACTGGAACCAATATGCCCTAGCTGGCAGCTACATGTATACTCACTGGATCCAATATGCCCTAGCTGGCAGCTACATGTATACTCACTGGAACCAATATGCCCTAGTTGGTACCTACATTGTATACTCAATGGAACCAGTGTGCCCTAGCTGGTACGTACATGTACCGGAATATTCACTGGAATCAATATGCCCTGGTTAGCACTCACTGGAACCATTGTGCCATGACTGGCTAGCACCTACACTCACTGGAACCATTGTGCCCTTATTGGCTAGCACCTACACTCACTGGAACCATTGTGCCCTTATTGGCTAGCACCTATACTCACTGGAACCATTGTGCCATGACTGGCTAGCACCTACACTCACTGGAACCATTGTGCCCTTATTGGCTAGCACCTACACTCACTGGAACCATTGTGCCCTTATTGGCTAGCACCTACACTCACTGGAACCATTGTGCCCTTATTGGCTAGCACCTACACTCACTGAGACCATTGTGCCCTTATTGGCTAGCACCTATACTCACTGGAACCATTGTGCCCTTATTGGCTAGCACCTACACTCACTGAGACCATTGTGCCCTTATTGGCTAGCACCTATACTCACTGGAACCATTGTGCCCTTATTGGCTAGCACCTACACTCACTGAGACCATTGTGCCCTTATTGGCTAGCACCTATACTCACTGAGACTAGTTTGCCCTAGCTGACTGCACCAGTTGTCCCCCTTCCACAGGAAATTTGTGAAATGTTTCTGAGAAATACATGTAAAAATGTCACTAGCTTGGAATCTACATGTATTGAGGGAGACCATTTCTGCCTGTAGGTTTCACGTGTTAGAGGGACACCAACCAGGCCCCCACCAGCATTTCTGCACAGATTATTGTTTTTGTTCTACGCAATAAACATCAAAATGTGTTTGCTGGTGAAGACAAAACATTTATGTACATTCATCACAAATGCACCTCACTGAGTACAAATTACCACAAAAAAATAGCTGAAAATATGTTTTGGTGTACCCAATATGAGAAATAGTGTAACAATTTCTCTACATTTTTTTTTTCAGGGTAATGATGACTCCCAATGTAGATTAGACTGGGAAATATCAGTAAATCCCCTGTCAATATCATTTTCTTTTCCATTTTGGGTCAAAATGTCACAAGTTGGTTCCTTATGTAACTCTAAATGAATTCAAATGGAGGAGGGAGGGGGCGGGGACCTCTGCTGGGGCAGGCACATGAACCTTGTGGTTTCAAGTATTTACCATCACTAATTTTCCTCAATTTTAAGAAAATGCACACCACAGCCTATACCTGTATACATACTGCATGTAAGTGTATGTTGATATCAGCCAATATTAAATACCTGGATATTCCGTTGCATGAGGTTTGTGTGTGGGAAGTTAAACTTGTACACCTTGTTGGCAACATCATTGATGTCAACAGCGGCTATCACAGTCGCATCCAGATGGCTTTCTGAAACGAGAGAGAGAAAAATTCACTTTGCCAAAGTTCTTAAGAGGATGCCATATTTTGAAATAACATACATGTAATACGTCTTGCTTTTTTTCTCTTTTTTCCTCCTTTTTCTTGCTGTTTGAAAATGTTGTTTGTGAAGTTTGAGAAATTTCAGAAAAGTTTCTGAAGGTTTTGAGGTTTGTGGAAAAAATCTTTACTTCAAAACAGATCACGGTCTGATGATCGTATTTCATTCGTGGGACAAATGCAACGCGCAGTATTCAAAGCTCCTTTAAAGTTTTCAAATTGATACCAAGTAAGCCAAAAGTCTGCAAGTGGGAGTACATGCAGGCCTAATCTAAAGTACATGTAGGGCCTAACCCAAACATCGTGCAGCACCCCTCATGTAAGCACACTTTGATTTTTAAATGCAAAGATGGCTGCACCATGCACCCCCTTGATGAGTCGTCTGCACGAAGTACACTAGAAGAGTTTTCAGATACAAGCTTGACTTAAAGTTAGGGGCTGTGGTGTAGGCTTAAGGGCTACGTGTAGATATTTATTGTAGGACTAAACAGCTGGGAGCCCCTCCCCCATTTTTTGTCATTTTAATTTTGTAAAACTGGTCAGTCCCCCCCAAAAAACAAAACAAAACGAAATGCTCTTTATTATGCCCTACATTTTGGAAATTTTGAATTATAAATTGTGAGAAAATATTATTTTCTTACAGCCATGCAAATTTGAATCCACCATGTGTCATATTTCATGTGTCACAGTTTCTCCTCATAATTTTTTCCAAGACTCAAACCCCTGTCCTCTTTTCACAACATCAATCCTACAGTTATTAAGAATGATGTCATAGTCATCTACATGTACCAATCCAAAATTTAAAATGTACAAGTAGGTCTCCCTTCTAATCTTCTACACAATCTCCATTGACATGTAGGCTATCAAATATCTGAAGGTTCTTCTACTTTTTGGTCTGTATATAAATGTAACTCTTGCCATTATACCAGTAGGCCTAGGCCTATTTACATGTACATGTATTATGAAAAAGGTTTGGCATGTAGGCCTATGCCTATGCCATGGCAACATCATGAACACAGCCAAGCATGTCATGCCAAGGGCCTAGCTAGTCACTACTACAGTACTTGTACTAGGGCCTACTGCCATGACCAGACAACAACATCATCATGACAAACATGACTGTCGCTGTGTCATCACTGTGTCACTGACCATGCTGGCCCTGTCAATGAACAGATGAATGTCACCTGGTCATGAGTGTCACATGGTCACTAGTGTAGTGGTGCACGAGGAAAATCGAGGGCAACGTCGAAGTGCGCCAGTGGCAAAGGCTTATTTTGTTTGTTTGTTTGTTTTGAAGCAACAAACCTTTGACAGCAAAATGCATTCCTCCAATTCCACTGTAGAATTCCATCACCCTAATCACACGCAACGTTGTCTTGGGCGCAGCCATCATGGCCATAATGGTTAAACTGCAACCATTGGTGGCGCTATCACGACTTTTCGACACGGGAGTTGATAGAGTATCGAGGGAGCCTTGGAAGAAGCGCCTCAGTTGTTGTGAGCAGAAAAGGCGCGGCGGATTTTGTGGTAATTCTTGGAAAGAGGGAACACCGGAAAGCTTATCCTTGCTTTTTACTAACCAAGTACAAGAAAGAAAAAAACACGAAATTGTCCCTGTATATACTATAGCATCAGTCCCATCTATAGTTGGGCCTGTCCCAAATATAGTTGGGCTCGTCCTAACTATAGTTGGGCCCATCCCAACTAGAGTGCCACAGTTGGGCCGGCCCAACTACAGCAGAGAGGTCCTGTGTGCATGATGTGCCCAGCATGTGCCAAAGTCATATTGTTTACAAATGTCATGTCATTGGTCATAAAGCTAAGTGCCACATTTTTGATGAATTGTGTCAAGTGTGAGACACATTAACTTGGATAATGTTGAGCCATTTCCGTCAGATATTGGTCAACAATAGTTGGGCCAGCCCAACCGCAACACGACAGTTGGGACTGTCCCAACTGTAGTTGGGACTTATGATATAGTTGGGGCGTAACATCCCCAACCTACCAACAAAGCTTTGAAGACTGAGATAGCGGCTTTTGTTATTGTAGATGCATGACGATCGATAAACAAGTAAAAGTTTAATTTACTCAAACTGAGAAAACCGTGTGATGCATTAGTTTGTACACGGAGCTGTGGAGACACTACTGCTTGGAAAGAGGTGAAAATTCAAAGTGACATTGCAAGAAAGCCTTCCTACATTTATTGAAGTCATAAAAATTACATGAAAATCGTAAAATACATGTACATGTAGCTTAATTTATGTTATTCAAAGTGGACCATTGCCCCGGCACCCTTCGCTACTCACACATACGTTACTGGCACACGTGAGCAACGAGACCAGAATAGGCTGAACCGAGATATCCTAACACAAGAGTCTCTGTCGAAGTAAGGGAAAAATTCCGGTCCTTTTTCTGGCTGATATGGTATTTTCCAAGGAAGCCACTGGTAAAATATATTAGTTGAACTTAGGCTAATGTTTGTCACAGATGCCAAGTTTTGCACACTGGGCCTTATCCACATTAACGTAACAAATTTAGGGACTCTGTGGGGTGAGTAACTCGAGTAATTCCTCAAAAACAAACCAGCCCCATTTTTTGGCACGTCAGACTAAGGCCGTTTTCCAATACTCAACTTCGGCTCCACGATCAGATTGAGTCAAAACTTTATATTTACACTTAGTAATGGGTGTCATTCCTTGCTTCCTATAAGTTTCAAAATTAGGGCATGGAAATGTTGAGTTGTTAGGGGTGGAACCCCCCCCCTCGCCACTTGTGAAATGCTCCAAAATAACCCTCTCTTTTCAGGCAAGTATTCAATTCATTATTATTTGAGCTATTGAATTATAATGGTTATGATTATTTGATGTAATTTAATGGTCATGATTAAATATTAAATCAGTCATGTGGCCGAAAGATATGTATCTTTTGGGTTGACTTCATAGAGCTATGCATAACAATCAGAGCGCTGACTCGTATACAACGTGATGCCCGCTGGGCGTATCCATTTCTGTGCGCAAAACCTAAAAACTCAGTTTTGTGCGGTTTCTGCCTCAACCAAGCCGATACACAATAAAACTAAACGCACAATCAGTAAATGGACGTTTCATTTGCATGCTCTGTACTAGTCTTGGTTTCAAGACGTTAGTGCTTGATAACGGACACCGTGCATAGTGCGCCCCTAACGACTCATAATTAGACTGTGCGCAAGCTCGTTAGCGAGAGTAAGTAAAAACTAGTTGTGCGAGGGCGCTCTTCAACAGAAATAAAACAACTATCGACCACTAACGTATTGGGCCAAGACTAGCTCTGCACAAACAATGCAGACGCGTGCGCGTATGCGCTGCAGATGAATTTTACCGTGACGTTTTGCCGCCGTCCCTCTGAGGGGAATAGAATATTGCATATTTATTCTTGTCATAGCACCCATAAACAAGCAAACCAGCCATTCAACTCACCCAAAGCTGATCAATTCGAGGAAACATCTTTTTCATTAATTCAGGTGAACGTATTCCTCGAAAGATAGCTATCGAAAGACAAGCGTACAAAATCGGACGACCTTGCGCGATTGGTAAGGAATCATTTTTTTCAAATATAAATTATAATCAGCTATAATCAGATGTAAATAAATTACTGGGACCTAATTTGTAGTCTATGCCCACCACTGCCGAATGCATTAACCCTAAAATCTATGGTTGCATATGTGTCATTGCTCGGTATGTTAGCGTCTTAATCACAAGACGCACTAATGATGCTCGCTTGTGTTGTACTTGCTCGTGGCAATTGGAGTATAGTACATAATTTGATATTCATTCTATATTATTTTTAATGTCCTCCACGCCCGCACATGGGATTAAAATGTCTGCGCCCAGGACGGGGTCAAATTTCCTCCACGCCGAGCATGAGACGTTACTGTTGCGCTGTATAATTTAATATAGCTCTAGCGGTTGACTTTTATTACAACTCATTTTCAAGGAAATTCTGGCACTTATACAATTTTTGTTTTTGAAATCTTCTGGACAGCCAACCAAAAAGCAGAAACAAAAATAAAATTAAATTCTCTTGATACTAAGCCACAACGAGACATACTGCATCGGTTTATATCTGACAACAATGAATCGAACCAATCAAACTGTGCCTTTTTAATGGAAATTTTAATGGCATAATAATTGCATGGCAATTATTATGCCACGCCCTCCCAGGCGTATTCCTCTCCAACATAGTCGGTCATGTCATAAGCCCATACCTGGCAGTGCTCTTTCTCGTGTTCACCCTTCTGTCGTCAACTGTCATCGCGGTGACCGAGTCAGAGATGCTGGTGCCGGTCTTGTCCTTGCTGTCTCTGGCCGGCAGCTTCGGCCGGGCTGTCGGCGACAGCAACGTCACCAAGCTTCACCTCCTCGGCCTCTTCCCGATGTCCGGTCCCTGGTCGGGTGGTAAAGTTTGCCTGTTGTCCAGCCAACTCGCCGCCAAACACATCAACGCTAACCGCGATATACTACCGGGCTACAAGATCGTCATTAAAGCGCTGGACACTAAAGCAAGTATACCTTTCCCCCTTCTTTATGGCGGATGCAAATCTCGAAATAGAGATACTTCTATTTCGAGACGTGCAAAGTTAAATAAAAAATACCAAAAGGGATATATCTATTATCACTTTAGAAATAGAGATATTGCCATCAGAAATAGCATAATTATCTTTTCCCCTTCTTTTATGGAGTGCAAAGTTTACATTTTATCCCGACATAGATACACCTCTCTCAAAAAGTGCAAAGTTAACACTTTAATCGTGAAATCGTGAAATAAATAGAAATCTGGATGCCTCTAATATCACTTTAGAAATAGAGATATCTCTTTTAAAAGATAAAAATGTTTTTATTGGAAATAGTCTATTAACAACAAGTATATCTCCTTTAATTATAAAGATATCTCTTTTTTGGGATAAATGTCAATTTTACACGGCAATGGTTAAGTGTTTACAGTTTTGTGCGACTGCGTTATTAATTGCCCTTGATGTCTGTGCACTCGTTCAGGTCCATCATATCCAGCCCGTTATGTCTGCAGGCCTATATGCCCAACCTGTTGACCTTCAATCTTGGTTGTATATCCGTGCATTTCCAGCAAGGGCCATTTTCCAATACTCAACTTCGTCTCCGTCTCAGGCTTCGTCCCCGAAACCTGAATCCCCGACTGTAGGCCTGAAGCGTTTAAATTACATTGGATTACTGTCAGTTTTTGCTCTCTTGCATCTTATTTGATGTTTTGTGGCACTATCAGACTAATTAGTGCGCTTACAGCTTCAAAGTCTGGTAGTAAAAAAAACAGTTGATCGAAGCCTGAGATGGAGCCGAATTGAGTATTGGAACACGGCCCGTGTTAATAAGGTCCTACCTGTCCGAAAAGAAAATGTCTTCCCGTTTATTTACACAGTTGATGTAAAACTGGCGGCAAGTCTCACAGTTTGTCGCGATGAAAAAGTAAGGGCCTTTCAGGGTTAAGCCAGCGCAATAATGAGTAAAATCTGTGGGTGCAATATGGGACTTTTGCTTTGTTAACAGGATTATTTTAGTAATTAACGGCGAGCCTCTCTTGCGCGCAATCGACAGCATATTGCCGGGGAATATGTGGGCTACACGGGGGCATGATCGCAACGCGCTGGCAATTCAAAACCAATCCTGGCTCGCTCATTTAAGGAAATGGACGCAGTGCAAATGGGTTGAATTGGACGCAAATTCTTTCTGGAAGACACATGTGGACTTTGCCTGACGGTACTGGATTTTCTATTCCAATTATTATGAACAAACACCATCAATAACCAAAACACTATAACAATTTCAAAAAAGTGTTATTGTAAAAGGATGTAATTTAAATAACGAAAAGTTATATACCAAACGCAACGAAATGAGGCCTATGTTGTCAGAAATGCTATTGCGATAAAGGCTTCTGCGAACAGTGTACAAATCAATAAAATCCTCATTTTGTATTCAGGTAAATTTTTGTATTCAGGTAAAAATCCTGTAATTACACAGATCACAAAAGTCTCATTTTGAAGATACGATCACATCTACAATTACATGATGTTTTGGATATTGTAAGTTTATAATGTCCTCGTTCTGGAAGCACAGAATGCTCGTATTTGGGCCTAGCTGAGATTGTATTTGGCATAATTGAATCCGAGTCTTTTGTTATGCTCCAAACGCGTCGTTCAACACCTTACGGCCGGACACAAGGCTTACCACATTTGGTACTATAGAGGGTTTGCATGGCTGCCATCATGCAGGCCAGTATTGCTTTTGTTCAATAGGGTACGCACAAGGGAGGTTTCCACGCGGAGCAAAAGAACTACTCTGCAAGATGGCTTCCGGTACCTCGCAAAGCTTCTATTAAACCTGAAATGCTAGATGGGATTTCAAGCTATTCATTGTGACAGACGACTGCTAGTAAAAATTAGTTGATAACATCTGTGAAGTTTAATTAGGATAGTTGATACACGATTTGCAATTGTATTTCTCTTCCCCCGTGCTTAACTATTCGTGTATGCTAGAGCATTTAAGCGCAGTCACCAGGAAAGGTTTGAATGATTTTATAATGCTCGTCCCTCTGCAAAATCTTTGAGAATAGTGTGTCTGGTTTTCATGAAAAGCAGAGTAAAAATCACTAAAGAAATAGGTAGATAAACCCATGAAGGCTAGCAAAAACTGTAAAAAATGTTTTTGGGGGGCATCGGGGGGAAATTAAAAGGGAGTTTTTCCTGTACTTGGACACTGGTTGAGTGAAGTCTACAGAATTTTGCTTTCTATACGTCTTTTGAATCGGCTCAACGTATTAGCTGTGTAGCAATTAAAGAGGTTACTGGTCGTGACTTTCTTCGTGACTTCGCAAGTTGGCCTCTGGGTTTTCCAGAGCGTCTTCATCCTGAAAGAGCTAGGCTTTTGTTCCGACCATCGCACGGAACTCAGCTGTCATGGGCCATTGCTCAGTCTCCATGCAGTCCATGGCCCCGCGCGGCAGCCTACGGTTACATTAATGGGAAAAGTTTTGGGCTGACCCGTCTCGGAAATGGCCATGTCGCGAGACTGATTTTCGCGAGTTTGGTGGCTACATCGTTCCAATACATTGCTAGAGAAGCTCATCAAGGCTTGTGAGAACAAAAGTGAATCTATCAGAGAAAAATGTCGAGGATGGCTACCGTCCCCAGCTCTAGGGTTAGCAAGCGAGTAGATGCAATTAAGTGAAAACGTTCACATATTTCGCTGCAGGGAAAGAATGTTGTTATTGAAAGAAGAAATTCATTTATTTAACCCCATTTTTGTATTACACTCACATCACTGAAAAGAGTATGTAGAAGAGTACGCCTGGGTTCCAACACTGGAAATGTAATGTCCTTGTTATGTACTTGGACGCTCGACGTAAGCACAGCACGAACAGCTGCATTTCCGAATGTTTGCCAACCTAACCATCCCCATACGAACAGGAACATTAGCCTACATTGTATTCTTGTGCAGGTTTTTCCTTCGTTTGTATTACTGTTGGGGTATTCCCTTTCCACGCGTGCATGGCGCCTTGTGTGGTACCTGAACGACAGAAAGTACTCCACAAGGAAAACACATTGTCCATGTGGGGGTACTTAAACGATATACCCAACAAGAATTACACAAAACTGATATTTGGAATTTAATAAAAAAGGAGGAATGTTCTGAGGTATGCGTCACAAAATGAAGTATTTTACATAAGGGACAAGTTGGTCGGAATTTCAACCAAGGAAGGAAACGCTGGTTCAAATGGGAGCGATTTGGAAAATGTGTTTTACGCACTAATTTTTTTTTAGTACACAAGAACACAATACAAGTGTACACGTAAACCAATTGTCGCCTTGTGTGATTTACTGTAATACATTTTTCAACGTTGACGATTTGAACGTGGCACATGTACACGCCAACGCTCAACGCTTTCTCTTAAGATCATTCGCTGGGACTGTTATGTTAGTGGAATGGCTTCGTCTGCCTGGTCAGCAATTAATTGCAACCTGCAGCCATTTTTAAAGCACAGTTGGGCTCATAAGTTATCAAGGGGCAAATAATACCCTTATCATATCATTTGGCAAGGATGAAGGCAGATCGGCTGTCTGTCCTTGTCTTCCTTTATATCGCTGCCTCTCTTTTGCATTATGGATGGTCACGGATGAATGAAGCCGTGTTTTTTTCCCACGCATCAGGAATAACTCATAATGGATATTTATACAGCGCACGTATCCATCCTGATGCTGCCCGATCAGGCGCACACAGCAAACATAGCCAAATCTGCCCTCACAGGTACTCATTAAATGGAAAAGTAAAAAAAAAAAAGATTTCAAAGATTTTAAAGATTAAAATAATCAAACTTAAATTGGTTGTAAACGGACACCTGATGAAGTCATGATGACGTCAGACTAATATGCACCACTTGGAATCAGGTTCAATCTGTGCTCACAGTTAAAAGTTTATATCTTAAAACAGTCTAGGAAAGGGGGAGAATTAGTGTCCTGCATATGAAAAAGAAAACAAAGGTGACCGAGATTACAAATCAAGATTGATGATTATTGTTACTTGTCCAGATTTATTTAATTAAAAATTACTTGGGTAGATTTATATTATTTTGCAAGTTTCTGCAATCATTGCATTGCAGCCATTAATTTCCACAGCACAGTTAACCGGTTAGGAATCCAATGGTTATGAACTCTTACATGCAACCGTGTAGTACCGAGCAAATTATTGAACATTGGTCATTAAGTTTCATGTTGTGTCAAGGAATTTTTACGCAAGTCATTAATGTGAATGGGTGCGTGGGAAAAATATTTTCATGAGGTGACAACTCGGCTACACCTGGTTAATTTAAACAGAACATGACACATTATTCCATCCATTGCATGAACGTAAACATGAAAGCAGTTGGTGACAAATAGAACGTTCTATTCCACTTGGCTTCGCCTTGTCGACAAGAATTGCTGTCTGTCCCTCTGTTGGTGGATAACACGCGAATGCTGTGAATATTGGCGCGCCTTGCATATCATCGACAAGACAATGGACGTTTCTAACGGGAGAGTACACCAATCAAACTGTTTTCACCAAAAATTTCTGAAGGGAACGAGTATTCCCCCACTTTTTGACGAGAAGGTAGAATGTTTTAGTCAAGCAGACAGGGAGGCATGTGCATTGTGAGGTCATTGTATCCAACAGTCTAAATGCATAAATCCTCGGAGCCACCAAAGTCACGACATTTGTTGCCTTATTTTTTTTTATTAAAGGGAAAAATGCTTGCTTAAATGCTCTACTACTTCGAGTCTCGCTTATTAGGGTGTCACATATAACACATAATAAGATAATTTATTACACCCACCTTTGAACCTTGGCATTTTGCTGTAGAAGCCCCGTTTATTAACAGTGCTAGGTAGTCAGATCTGGTGCAAGAAAACAAGATTCCTTGAATTGGCCTTTACATTATCTGTTTCAAAACTTTTAAATGTGGCTTCAGTGTGATGGAGGAACGGCTACGGATGTGATGTACCGGGAAGTTTACAACTCCTCGACCACTGAGATCATGATCTTAGGCGGTGGTTGCTCCATAGCCACGGAGCCGACGGCTCAGGCGTCTCATCACTGGAATCTCTTACAGGTAAGTGAGAATTTCAGGGGAAGAAACGAATTGAAGATGTACTCAGAAGAAAAGGGGTTGGGGAATGGACATAATGAATGAAGTTGCAGGTTTAGAGACACTTGATTCCACCCTGATGATAAAATAATTTAACAAACAGACTAGCAAACATGTACTCTCTCAGTTGGACATACTGTCTTTTCACGATCTTGAGCTCACCCCTGCAGTCGTGTAGGACTTTTTACCTGTAAACCTCGTCGACAAAACATATAAAACATGGCGTAGGTGGTTACAAACAGTTATCTGTTTTTAATCTGATGTAATAACCGTAATAATTTTTTTTATAACATCATGCTAGAAAGGGGACATTCATGGCAGGAATAGATCAACGCAAAGCTCTTTACGGATTTGAGGAATGCCCATTGAATACTTCATGAATTGCCAATCAACCCGCCCCCGGTCGTAGTTGAGCTTTCTCTCCCCATTTCTAATTATATGTATTTCAGAAAACGACTCATTTCATTGTGTTCGGGAAATAATTAAAGACAGTGCCAGACACTCCGATTCCCTGTGTTGTATAAAGAAGCCAGTTTCTTTTATGAATTCCCGTGATTAGGCTATAGGCTACCCAAGGCACACATCGGTTATCTGCAGTGCCGAGAGACCAAGCCACAAAATTAAATTCGCTCAAAAAGCAATGCTGCGCAAAGTTGGTTTCATTGGAACACAATCAACTTACAGTAGCCGTCGCATTTGTGTAAAATGGCTCAACTCCTTGAGTTGTGTGAGATGGCCAGACTGGGACGTTTAACGTTGAAACCAAAGTAATAGTTTTAACCGTGATAAACGTACTGTGCATAGACCAGCACCATAAGCCAAATTGCCTACAGCGGATACCTCTTCTGGACGCGAAAACGTGAATACGTGGAAGTTTTCAGGTAATGCGAATGAAACCGAGGACTATGGCTGTTTGAACTTGCGAATATGAGACGACGCAAAAAGAGAAAGCGTTCAAACTCGCGGATGCTCGATATCAAGTCGTCCGAGTTACAATGAACGTGAATTCGCCTGGACTACGGACTCTTTGAGAGCTTTGCGCAGTGCAAGTGGGTTTAACATCTACGTGAAAGACAAAATCATTATTAGAATTGAATATGGACTTTTCTGCTCGCGAAGGAGTCAAGTGTCTGAGCTAAAATCGGAAATAATGGCATAAATCTTGCTGACAGACAAATTCATACATGATAATCACGGGCAATGCAAGATTCAGACGTGGACAAGAGTACTTGGGAAGACGGATAAACCAACACAACAGGTGTCATAAACCAACACTGGGAACTTCCGCCAAAATCTTACTGGGCAAATAGAATGTTGTTTACTACATGTAATCAGAGGTGGTGTGAGATTCAGTAGTGCAAAAGAGTTCGTGCAGGAAGATACTAAGGCCGTGTCCGAAACGTGCTTCTGGGGCTACGGCTAGGTCTATTGTCTGCGCGTCTCAACGCATTTCCAATGGAGCGAAGACTTAGACCTAGCTCCAGCCAAGAGATTCGGATGCAGCCTTATAATGTGCGTTTCTCCCCGCTTTACAGCTGTCCTACGCTGCGTCCTCCCCAGAACTATCCAACCGTCTCATGTACCCTCGTTTCTTCCGCATGACACCCACCGATTCGGCTTTGAACGTCGTTCGATTGGCTGTCATAAAGAAGTTCAACTGGACCAAAGTGGCCACGCTACATCAGTCCCGTGACATCTTCTCTTTAGTAAGATTAATCAATACGTTCCAATCCCTACTTGTATCTGCAAATGATGTACAGTCATTTGCATAAAATTTACGACCACCTACACAAAGTGCATGAACCTGAAGAAACCACACTTAAACCGATTAATCATGGCAGCTTATAGTTGTCTTCAATATTGTTACCTTACTGTCTTGGTTGAGCAATTTTTTACTTTAATTCCATGATTTGAAATGGCAACAGTCTTATGTTTTTTAAGAGTGCCGTCCTCCATTTCCGATGACTCAGACTGGACATTTACCAATGCTACATTACAGACGAAATGTCATCATACAAGACATGCCTTTGCCAAAAAAAAATCATTCAAATACATATAGCTCATAACGCGTCTTTGTTATCGACCACTGTGGAAAAAACTGTGTTATGTTATTGTTCATTGAGGCAATATCCTGCAGGTCCAATGACAGAAATACCAACAAAATTCCAGGTGGTCTTAAATTTTTGCAAAATGTATTGTCAGCAATAAACTCTACGAATTGTGCATGGTGATGTCCGTCTCGTCACTACGTATGTTTGATGATGGTATTAGGAAGCGAATTCATCAACGACTTGGTGTTGTTTTACCATTCAAGTTTGAAATTGGAGCAAGAAGTGAAATGTCAGGGTGTTGGAAGTGACCTGCACTTCCCGCTGTCTTGTCATTTCGTTCCGCTGTGAACTTCTCTGCACTAAGAAATGATCATACAAACTGGTCAACTCTTCTCGCGCGCTTTCTGCTTGATGTGATTTTCAGAGTCCTCTGTCGTAGCATTTCCACCATTCAAAGTCGTGGGCCAGTGGTGGGGACCAGTCAGGGCCATGACCCCGTCGTTTCCCTCCCCAAGAAGGAGGGTATGGGGTCTACTTTCTTAGAATTGTTAAAAGCATGAAAGGCAAGTTTTTCCACTTCTGAATTCCTTTCCTTATAAATGCCTATTAGACACGCAAAATCTGGCCTTACTCCTCAGGACAGTCATGCAAGGTTACGTAATATACAATTCGTGATTTCAGACACACAAATCCCCCCACTCGCAAATCCCCCTATGTTCAAATAAATCACAACTTTCTCCTTATCTGCGCACAAGACCTGGAGTTCTCCCTCGTGGATAGGGTCAAACAAACAACAGTGCTGGATGTCATTCTCAGTACATGTATATAGGACGTTGGTCAGCAAATAAAAGCAGACGCGGTTTCTTGCGTCTGTATTGTGGATAGTGCCCGCACTACGTGAGCGACACTGGCTATTAGAGGATTTCATTTCGCTCCTCAAGCGTAGTTATTTTGGAACCGAATCCATCCCGAAGGAACATGAAATTGAACGATTATAATCAAATACAGGGATGTGGGGTGCCGGTAAATCAAACTAACAATGTACGCTACTCAAAGATCCGAGGTCGTTTCCTCGCTGTAGCGGCAAAATGGTGAAGAAAACATGACAATGTGGATGCAAAACACACAGATGTCTTCCAAACAGTCTCCGAGAGATGTCCTCTGATCAACTTCTATTCATGTAAGCGGGCTTTTCAAAGATCTCTTATATTCGGTCTCTAAAAGGCGGTCTCTGACTTTCAACGGGACGCGCAATCATCTGGTATAGACATTCTTGCCGCAGAGATCTTTGTCGAAGATCCAGCACAACAACTTAAAAACATCGAGGTAAGAAAAGCATGTAGGGCCTATATCAGCAATATGTATAAATATATACTCCCCACATGCTCCTTCTTCCAAGAGGTGCGCCAACTTCATATATTTGAAGACTCAGGCACACTGAAATGAGAAGCAGTTACAGTTTTAGAAGAGGGAGGAGAATCCTAAAGGATATTCTGGGTAAAACCCACGGAATCATGTAGGGACTGAAAACCCAATCCACATGTGGACTGAGCCGGGAATCGAACCCGGGCCGCAGAGGTGGAAGGCAAGGAAAGACCTACCATGCCAACCTGATTGTCCACTCTTTGGTGTTTAAATTATTTTTTTGTTTTAGCATTTTCTGCCACCTTCAACATGTTTTATGTTATGTTTTACATCAGAAACATTAAGGGGCCACTTTTGAAACTAATCTGCACACACTGCAAAAACTGTGATGTTAAAATCAACACGTTTTTGGTGTTATCGGATGACCACACTATAGGGTGTTACTTTAACACCGTTGGTGTTACTTTGTTCATCTATGAATGTTACAATGCACTGGAGGTTGTTAAAAGTAACACCAAATAACACTAATATAACATTAATGAAAAGTGTTGGTGTAGTCCTCTGATAAATTTAACATCCCTGTTTTTGCGTTGCACTGGCGCTGGCTTTGGTTTGTGCCAAGCATGCATTGCATTAAAGTGGCCCTGCAGTGTTGACCACAAAAAGACAATGGAATTCACCAGCAACAGCGTAAAAACCCACGAATCGAGGTGGCAGAATCCTCCCCTTTAATGCTGTCGAAATGGTGACTAAAAGTGGGGCCTTCAGATATTGATTTAAATTATGCCATAATTCTTCAAGAGTGCCTGCTCTGTAGAACGATGAAAATGCGTGTTATTTTTAAAGAGGTCTAGTTTAATAAACAAAAGTGGTTCAACTCAATTCTGAGAATATTTCTAGACCGCTAAAGGCAACTGAGATGAAATAAAAATGGGCATTAAGCAAAACATGCATCTTCTTTAAAACCCTGTTCAAATTATAAACACCGCCAGTCGGAATTTTGATTAAAACGGACAGCATTTGCCCGGGACACCATTTTTGGGACACTCTACAGAGCAACGTGTGATCCCCTCTTTCACTTAGCGTTAATGTGTGTAACTCCTCTGTAGAATGTTGGGGCCCGAATCATCTTCGGCAACTTCTACAGCGACAAGGCAAGACGAGTGTTCTGTGAAGCCTATCGCCGAAAAATGTACGGCGCGCAGTACGTCTGGATCGTACCAGGTACGTTTAATGTTGCTTCTACTCTTCGACTGCCATGAGATGTGGGATTGTCACCCTTTTTCTCAAGCATCAGGCGATCCTACTACCTGCCTTTTCACTAAACAAGGCTTAATTCTAAAGCAACCCAGTGCCACCCAGAGCGTGAATTTGTGCTGGGGACGGGAGATGGAAGATGACTTAAAACATCGCTCGGCCGTAGAAATCTTAAAGTGTGTGTGTGGGGGGGTGTGCTTTATGACACTAGGGGGCGCTGTTAATAAAAACAATGTAAATGTTCCGGTGACAAGAGGCGATTACTGCGCGGCCATCCTGTTTGGGACGCTGGTGGTACGTGTTTTATATTCCTTTTCGACGAATAATTAAGCCCCAAGCTACGGAGGTCCTCTTGGTTGGAACTGCACTTAACTGGTTCACGAACGACTATAAACTTCGTGCGATGCGTTCGCGTAGATACCAACAGAAACAAACACTCCACACCAACAAATGCCCTTTTCAACAGATGCGGGTGCTTCGGCTCAAGTGCGTGCTGTGTGAAGTGCGTGCTGAAGTTCAGAAAAACTTGTGCATCATTTCAATGGTCCCCATTGACATGTACATACTTTCACCTCTGAGCCTTACATCAAAATTACGTGTTAATTTCTTGTTCCTCCCTTTGTCAGTGGCATTAAAGATACATGTGTTTAGGCTGTTGGTATTAAAGTCGGGACAATTCTTCAAAATCCCAGCATCTGAACTTTTTCTCGGCACAAAAAAAGATGGGGGATGATTCAGTTGTCTATCCCAGCTATCAAAAGGGTCAAAGGAATGGACAGCAATCTTGTCTGCGGCTCCAGGTTTTAGTCGCCAAAGCACATACCAGTTCCTGTGCTTAGATTCCTTCCTAGCTGTAGCCCAGATGTTCATTTATGTGAAAAACTGTCATTTCGTCTCATAATGAGTTTGAACTTCGCTTATTAAGGTGGCATGTGTATCGTATAATATGATATATATGATACAATTACAAGCTTCAATTGTTATTGTCAGATATCAAGGTGCACGTACAACACACGGCATTTTTATGCTTCCCTTTTTTCTGACAATAAAAACGTAGATTTTTTTTCAACGCTCTCTAGGATGGTTCGAGGCGGGTTGGTGGCGCACTCCAGACGAGTCCATCACTTGTACACTGGATCAGATGGATGAGGTTACAGCTTACTCCTTTGGGGTCAGCGCTGTAGGCCTTCCCCTTGCGGGAAAAAGGAAACTGTCGGTAGCTGGACTGGTAAGTCACTAAATGGAAAGTACATGGACCCACCAAAGGAAAAACTACTTCGGTTTTCGACGGCCTTTAAAATGGCTTGTAGTTAAAAAAAATCATGTTTCAAGCCCTTTGTGTTGAATAAAAAGCTGAGAACGTAAGATAAGCTACTGTTATCCTTTTACGTTGCAGGCAACATCAGGACACCGTAATTGTATGAAGCACCAGTCTGCTCGTATATTTTGTTCAGATATTGCAACAATCTATCTTGCTCAGGGACATAAAATGTTCACAGTGCTGCTCTCTAAATCCTCACCAGTCTTTTGCAATAATTTCAGACAACAGAGAAGTATTTAGAGGCGCTGACGACCTTCGCTGGTGACGACGCTGACGATGTAGCAAAGTATACAGCGAAGTCCTGGGCATACGACTCGGTGTGGAGCATCGCCTTAGCTTTGAGCGAAGCTGAAAGTCTGCTTCAGTCTCAGGGTACAGCATCTTGCTAGCAATACAGAGTGAAAGCATTTGAGTATAATGAGCATTATCCTATCTATTTAATATCCCATTATATTGTACAAATGCAATGAGTTTTCTGTTCAAAGAAGAAACTTAAAGAGCTCATGAAATGAAGTATAGTTCAGAATATTTTTCATTCAATTTTCTAAAATCGGACACCCATGTTGCATGTTGAAATTTAATATGCAGATTATACACGTATAAATTTTCCTTTAATTAGAGAACTATTATTGTGATGCCACTTAAGGAAGGCACTGTCCATTTTACGGCTTTTCCGTTCAAACTGTGAATCCATATGCGTTTTGGGAATTTTGGGAAAGGTTTTGCTGAATGAGCTACCACTGCGTATCCAAACATTAAAAAAATCACCCAATAAAATTCTCGTACACTGAGCATGCAACAGACATCCAGCGTGCCGAGGAATTTACCATTCGGAAGCTTTTATGTTGAGGTATCTGTGCCATTACACTTCGCCTCATGAAAAAGCACCTTTACATATCCTTAAAGACCCCCAAAGAAATTAAATGTTACAAATGTGCAAAAGAAAAACGGTATGACATTTAAGGTGAAGCCATAACTATGCTCGACATGACATGATGCTACATACGGCATCACACGACACGACATGACTGCTTGGTATGAAATTATTATTAGTTGAATTGTTATTGACCCTGCGTATTTGTGATTGTTTTGGTGTTGAATTTTAGATCCTCCGAGGACTCTAGGCGATTTCACGTTCAATGACAGCATGACTGCGGACATCCTGTTCAACATAATGAGTGACCTGCAGTTCGAGGGTGTATCGGTACCTATGACATTGACATTGCCCTTAGCGTTGGCTGTAAAGGAAGTAAACTGTTGTCATGGAGTCATAGCTGAAGATAGAGAAATTCAAACAGAAGAATTTCTTCTAGATCTGCGTGAAAAATGAGAACATACACTATCGGCCGAATGATGACTTCCAAATTCTTTTTCGCCGAGTTGCACCCAGTCCGTTTTACTTGGCAATGTTGGCTTTAGAAAGCTACAGGTTGGCTTTCCACCTTAAGCAGTAGTACCCCCTCATCGGATGGAAAGAGCAATGGGGGGGTTACATTTCCTGAATCAGCGAAGCGCAGTTCCCATCAAAGAGGCCTTCGTTGCTAAGAAGATTACGCCCTCTCTTGGTCCCGCTCGGGACCCATAGCTGCTGCAGCCATTTGCAATAGACGCGTTGTCATGTCTGCCTGTAGCCAGTTGATCTCATTGCAGCCCAAGTCCAGATGAGGATATATTTTCTTTCTCAACCGTTGTTTAACGTGCTTTATTGTAGGGTCCGGTTCAGTTCGACGCCAGTGGTGATCGCATCGGCCTGCTGGCGTTATACCAAATCATCGGTATGGAAGACCAAATCCAAGATTGTCTGTTTAACCCTCTTTTACTCACATAGCTTGCTATCTCATGCGTACGTTTATTGTTCAGTCCTGCACACATGTACAGTTTGGGTCAGCAATTAATACTAGCAAAATGAGGCTATGGCCTTTTAGGGGATATTTATGCAAGAACAAATCTCCCAAGCCTGTTGAATTGCCTGGGACAACTCTTAACCAATTAACTTTTGTAGAATTCGCGCCTTAACCCTGGTTAAGGCCACAGCTTAAGCCATTTGGGTGAACAAGACAAACTCATTTATGCTCTCAATCTTTTCATCTTTGATAAATGTTTCGGAAAATTTTTCTGTCCACCATGAATCGTAGCAACCTTCATCGTCCAGCTTGTTTCAAAGGAAAATCCCTCCCCTCTTAGGACAGTGGCTTTGTGTGGTAGCCAACTCGCAGGGCATTTCTTTTCTTCCACAGTAAACCCCCTTTGTGCATACTCTGTGTAACAAAAATATTGGCCTGCAAGATGGCATCCATGCAAACCATCTATTGACAATGTTTACTCAAGGTTTTTTTTTTTTTATTCAACAAAACAGATCTCCAGACTGTTCGTGTTGGCATCGTTGACCCGACTGTTGGTACAGGCAAGGAGCTGGAAATGGAAGGATACTCCCCTATTATTTGGCCAGGTGAACAAAAATCTGGTTTCTGTCGTTGGGCTGTCCAAAGGGGTCACTTTGAAGTTCTCACAAGCTACGTTTCTTATTAAATCTTTTAGTCATTGCTGGTAGTATCTATAAAAGAGAGAAAAAAATAAACACACTGTGCAACACCACACAACGAAATGATACCAAAATCAGGCTAAAAGCAAGCAAGGTATTCAAATATCGCAACTGTCTTTCAGTCAGGAGTCTCAGGACAAACGTTTAAAGTTCTTCAATCGAAAGGCCTTTGGTGCCGGAATAAGTGCTGACAAGAAGTCTGGTGAGCTTCTGATATTCTTCCTTGAACTTAGATGGTGCGCCCCCTCTTGACTTCACAATCGAGAAGAAAGAGCGTCTAACCATTACATATTCTGTATTTGTGACTGGTACCGTGTTCGCAACCATGGGAATTTTCCTGGCTTCTTGTTTCTTAGCTTTCAACATTCGCTACAGGAACAAAAGGTCAGTTCATGGATTCAATTTGGATCGGCTTCAATATAATTTTGCAATTTTTGTTCTGTATGGAATACACTCTTATGTAGTTGTTAAATTTCTTCAAATGCGTTGCAGCAATCATTTATTGGATTCTGTCCAACATTGAGTGACAGCCATGGCCGTCGCAAAGATTTTCCCCCGGGGGAAGGGCAAACCTAGCTATAGGTAGGGTGGAGGGGCGATGTTTTAAAGGAAATCCGTGACTTCTTTCCATTTTCTCTCTTACTTACTTTGTTTTTTTTTCAAACATTTTGTTTAATGCTGCCCCATTTTTTCAAGGGGAAAGTGCCCCCTCTCGACGCCCACGGTGACAGCTCTTCAAGTTAAAAATGGTCACAGAGAGCGAGTCACGACTCAAATGACTACGACGATGACGGTCATGGGTGTCACCAGAAAGGGGCTTAAGAATATTTCCGGTGGGAGCAAAGTCTCATCCTGCACAAGATCACAAACCAATGTTGAAAACCAATAAATTTTCCCGGAATTTCCGTGCAAATTGGTGACTTCATCCCATTCTTCCTATATACTCTGTTTTTTGTTTTTCTTATTTTTTGTCTTTTCCCCCAGGGGATAAGTACAACGTTGTGCCCCCATTGATAAACACGTGACTGGTGTTGCACATTGCACTCCATGTTTCTTGTCAATGGATTGTTTTCAAGGGAGTACCAAAATCCATCTGGATGACCTATCGCTTGCACGTAATACTAAATAGGGTATTGGGGAATCAAAGCACGTGCAACTTCAACAGTGTTGATTCAGACCACAATTCTCACATCAATACTTGGTTGGGCTTCTCTGTTTCGGTCATCTTTTCAACAAGATCTTTACTCCTGGTCGAATAGTTTAGTTCACATATTTATGTATATATTGCATTCACAGGGTGATCAAGATGTCAAGTCCTAACATCAATAACGTGATGCTGATTGGTGGGATACTAGCTTACGTCTCCATCATCTGTCAGGGCGTGGATACGGCTATTGTATCCACTGATACCTTTGTGTGGATGTGTAAGGTATAAACCGTTATATGACATCCGAATAACGAGGAATTTTACTATTCACTCGCGTCTGACCTGACCTCCTCTTCTTAATTCAACCAAACTAAACCTAACCAAATAAACGTAGCCAAGCCAAACCAATTCTAAACCACACCAAACAAAAACTAGCCAATAACCTAAGTTAACCTAACCTAATCAAACCCGTCACGTAGAAGCAGATTAAATCAAGAAATCGTGGTTGCAAAAGTTTCTGTAGATTATTCTACAAAGAAGCACACAGCAAATGGGTATGTTTTGTGTTGAACTGCAGGTGAAGACGTGGCTTCTGGCAATTGGCTTTTCGACTGCTTTTGGCGCCATGTTTAGCAAGACTTGGCGTGTGCACAAGATTTTCACTAGAAAGATGACCACAAAAATGGTAGGAAGGTGTATCTTTGAGTTCCAGTATAAAGGCGCACTTTTTTTAAAGAAGTGCATAGTCATTATACGGTACATGTATTTGTTTTCATACTTTGGAGATTACATTAAATGTCATGTTTGATAAATGTGTATACCTCAGGAGACATTTACGGAACCCTTCCCATCTTCTTCACGAAAAACCTTGGAAGACAACTGTGAACTTTGTGCAATCCTTCATCATAGACACATTATTTTGTGAAATTTGATAAGCTCCCTTTTCACGATCATGTGCTGAACGACCGCCAGCCGGTGCACTGACTTTGCCCGTTGAGAGCAAGTGAAGCAAGGGTACACTCTCTTCTGCAATCCCACAGGTGCTTAGAGACACCCGACTGTTGAGCTTTGTGGTTGTTCTGATCGCCGTTGATGTCATCATACTTACCCTATGGAACGTGATAGACCCAGTCACCGCAACAGAAAATTATAGAAGTAAAGTGGTATGCTGTTATCTACTTTGCCGTTTTAGTCTTGCACTGTAAAAATAGCAATACAAAGATCAGAATTCACACCCGTGCAGAAATTAATGTCATTTTCAAGTGAAAATGTGAGTACAAACAACAGACCGTTGCCCAGAGTGGGCGAAGAAGGTAACAAGCATAATAATCACAAACCAAGAGGCTAGAGTGTAGTCAAAGTCAGAAATAGTTTGTATCGTATAATCGAAACAGAGTCGAGTAAAAAGGTGAATATTATACGTCGCTGCAAGTGATTCTGGGGGATGGTGAAAATTGGCATTTTGTCTTATTCCAAGGTTGATCAGAACAACAATGACATCGTTTATACATTGATCCGTATGACATGTGAGTCCAGGAACCAGATTTACTGGATTGGTGCCTTCTATGTCGTCAATGGCCTCCTACTCATTTTCGGAGCTTTTTTGGCCTGGGAGACTAGGGGAGTCTCCATGCCAGCGCTAAACGACTCCAAATACATAGGTACGTTTCTCTTTATGTTTATTTGTAGAAAATCAAGTCAACTCTTGTCCAGTTTTCAAACAAATAAAGTTTGAAGGAAGTGTTGAGATTTCATACAAGCACTCAGACTGAACGTTTTTAATTTCCATTTTAAATAAGATCATAATCCAATTCCTGGCAACAATTCTCATTTTGTGGCCTATTAGCCAGCCCGACCACCGTATTTGCATTAATGCAAATAAAGCGTTGAGAAGAAGCGCCCCGTCATCGGTGGGAAAAAAAGCCATAGTGTTGGGGAATATTGTGACTGAAACGTGTGCATTCCATTGACGTTTGTCATGAACCAGCAAAGTGCACTTCCCACCAAAACAGCCTCGGTTGCTAGGAAATTGCGCCCTCTCTTGATCCAGCTTGGGGCTCATAAAGAGGAGAGAGCGTTTTGGTTGATCAGCTATAGAAAAGAAATAGTCAGCTGGCAGGTCATAAAACGTAACGAAAGCAAACGCCTAAAGTATGTAAACTTCCGGTCACAACTGTATACGTCACAGTTTGCCGTTTCAAGGGAGCATTTGCAGTCGCAAAAAAAGGATTAGGCCTAATCCCTTTTCTTTTAAGGTCTGAAGCATTTCTTTAAGTGTTTTCAGGATTCTGTGTCTACAATGTCCTGATCCTGTCGTTAGTGGGTGCTGCGGTATCGTTTTTTTTGGAGGAGCGAAACGCCCATTACGCCCTGGTATCTACCCTGATCTGGCTGGCCACTACAGTTACGCTCTGTGTGGTCTTCGTCCCAAAGGCAAGTATATTAACATTTGAAGCTTGCAAACCCGTCATATCGCCCGATGCACGTCAGGACTTTATCATTGGACGTAGGCATATGTCCCATGCCTGGTAGGGTGCTTATGCCGCGCCTTACTGTTGTTAGTGGTGCCCTGCGCCGGTATTGTTGAATCATCGCTGCCTGAAAATGGTCACTTTGGCAGGTGCGTACGAGGAACGACGTAAAGCCAACCATCAGTGACGTGGTATCCCACAAAAGCCAGCAACAGCCGGGAAGTGCATCGGCAGACTCAAAGGAACTGGAGCTGCTCCGTCGGCAGATACATCAGATGAAGCAGAACTGCAAGTGTTCGGTGACAGCTTCAACTACAACCGACGACGGACCTTGATATTCTTCCGAGAATTTACGGGGACAAAATTTGTTATGACACCAACAACCAAGGACGAATTTTAGCTTCGTGGAAAATTAAACTTTTAAAGATTCAGCAGTCAAAGTTAATTCCGCATGTCAGTCTCTCGAAATTGTTTGAATTGTAGTTGAAGTAGAAAAAAAGTTTCTCTCGTCTTCTTGCAGAACCTCGGCAAAGTGTCAGACGCAAATTTGGTTGGGGGACCTTCAACAACCTTCATTCCACAGGGCGGCTTATACAAGTGCCTCCCCCTCCACAAAGCGAGTCAAGCGGGCGGGGGGACTTGGCAGCCCCTCCCCCGACGAATTTTGTAAAATCAATTATCAATTCAGTTTATCCAAAGCTGGATATGCCGCTTCCCCTCCAGAAAAATACGCAAACCTGAGTAAAAAAAACCTGTCCGTTTTGAGCATAAAGTCGCTTCGCGTATTGCTTCTATGACTTGACAACGAACAAACTTTTGGCGAGCTTCGAAGTAAATGCAAGTATAAATGTAATGCCAATTTCTGTACGGTTGTCAGGATTACTGTCCGTCACCCCGGCCGTCCATTTGTCGGGGGGGGGCGCACGCCAAATGTTAAAGTTTTTGCTTGTGGGTATGTGGGTAATATGTGCCCTTTGTGTTTGTTTCAATCTAATCTTGAGTTTTATTGTCAGAACTTTATGTGGGATTTAAGGTTTGAAGTGTTGTTTACACATTGTTTACATTATGAAAAATAATGACCTCCAAAATGTTAACGGATTTGATTGTGACGCATAGACACTGTACACTCCTGTACTGTTTTTACACTGAAAGAGATGGGGACTGCGAAAGTGAGGCGAATTTGAAGTCACGGAAATTGTGCAGCGATAAGTTTATCTCGAGTTGAAATGTGTTCAACTTTTGAATGTGAAGTTGCGACGCAAATCTTCTACCCTGACGTCACAAATTTGCATTCGTGTTCGCCTGAAATGTGAAGGGGCCTTGAAGGGGACAGACTGGGAGGAGGATTGGGTGGTGGAATGGGGGAAGAGTAGATGGATGGAACGATGGGTAAAGGGAGTCAGTAAAGGGGGATGGACTGGATGAAAGGGAGGGGGCAGAACCTTTAAAATGCCATTTATTTTTCACACGTAATGTGGTCATATAATTATCAGACCATTTCTAGTACTTGTTGTAAGAATTGTGGCAAAGCTTGCACTTGGCTTGTGTTATTTTCTCGCTTAATTTAGCAGCACCATTCGTACTTTGCACGAAATTGTCTCTTAACATAAATTTGTATGCGGTGGAAAAAGGAATTTTTAATCATAATATGAAGCAGAGAGCCGGCCATGGTGGTTTTGCTGTTCTGTGTTATTTTCTTTGTGTTCGACCATTCAGAAATTTGCCCCGGTGAACCGCAGGCGTGCATTAATGTTCAGTAAGTGCCACTATCCACTTTTAATCGCTAGACTGGAATTGGAATTGATTGACTAGATTGGAATAAGTCACTTACCTCAAAGCGCATCTCCTTTTACAGTTTGATTTCAAACCTTTTTTCCGCTGAAAAAGTGCCAACAATTTAGTTTCGAGTGCTAGTATAAAAGCAGCGAAAACGACCCAACAATGAAACGACCAGCCTACTTGCGGCCTGAGTTTCGATACTGGCATGATCCGATCTACAATAGTGTCAAGCTGGACTGGGTCGGAAAAAAAGGACTATGGATCTCTGGGAGGGCCCAAAGCCAACAAACAAGGAGATGGAAGACGCCGTTGCTTTCTCTTCAAGGACCATCCAGAAAAAGCATCATGTATCAGGAGCTGAACACTGGAAAACTACACGGTTTCTGACATCGTCAACAAGGTGGGTCATGCAAACTAGCGGCTGCATTTGACAAGATGTTTGCACTGATGCACAGTCTGCAGGTTTTGCAATGCGAGAAGACTTCAGTCCTGTCCGACTGAATTAAGGGGGGGTCCTAATGATCCCTGTAATGGTGACATGGCTGCGATGAAAACGATGCCTAAAATGCTAGAAAATTAATATTTCCCTGCTTTTGTACTATATCAGATAATGCTTGGCTTCGTTGGCCAGGATCTTAAGCAGGAGAGATCACCAGCTGGTATACAACATACATTAACTTGAGGCGTAGGATTCCATTTTGTTCGTTATTTGTACTCTGAATAAAATTCTCCTCCACTACAGGGAGATAAAAGTCATAATAACTTTTCAAGAAAAACACTGTGAAGTTCGCTATCTACATGCAGTCACACGCTCATCTGCATTAAGCAATGCTGCCCGAAAGGGCAACAATAGGGGTCTATTCAGCGTATGCGCGTGTTAAACTGTTGAAAAAAAGACGCATGCACAGAACACCATCTACACTTGTATCCTGACCATTTTTTCCCCTTTAGACACACTGTGCCAGATTTACATAAAAATTATACATGATTGCCGCCATTCAATTTTTAAACATAAAGTTCGGAGCTTTGTGGTACAGACTGACTGAAGCCTGACCGGGGCTTAACTTTTCTCTCCGGAGTTTCAAAGCCATCTTTTAAGTCATGATTTTCACAGTTTGCTTTAATTAGGAAATGTGACACTACATTCTTTGACCTTCTCGGCAAGTTACTCCATCCCATTAACATTTTTGGATATTATACATTTTAAAAGATGTATATTAATAAATTAGGCCTATATTTAGCAGAGTGACTGCTCCAGTCTATCATTACTACGTAAACATTTGTTCAGACTCAAATTCTGTGTTTCACCCAATCCGACTACCCACTTACAAACCAGTTTTTGTTTTCTAACCAAAATGCCACATCTGAAGCGCGCCGGTAATATTTGCAGGCACACGAATTACGTATCAGTTCCGACGTCATTTTGCTGGGTCATGGGCATGAATGACGGGGAAAAATAGGGAGTTCGGCCCAGCTGGCTTCCACAGTAAGTGGATAATGGATTAACACACAGAGGATGTTTGTGGTTCACGTCATACACATGTACAGAAGTTCTTTTTTTTCAGTCTGGGTCCTGTTATAACAAGATGAAAAGAAGCGGCTTTGTAATTTACTGCCCAAATCTGCAGTCCTGAAGTTGGTTTCATTCATTGACCTCACTTCAACACATCAGCTTGAGCATCACTTTTTTTTTAGCGTGGAATCAATATCACATGTGGTAATACATTACAGGCATGGTTCGAAGATGGCATTTTTATTTTCAGCCTCGTATAAAAACAGCGGGTAGTTGAAGAGGAAGTTTTCAAGAAAACACCCACACAATTACATAACCCCAACATGCCGTCCAACAGCAATACTTAGTATTGATGTTCAGGTACTGGGTTAAACTTCCAAGAGCCGGGTTATTTTGACCCATCGTGCATCGGAAGAGGGGGACAGAATCCGGCCGTCCCCTTAAGAACTCGGCTATGCCACGTTCGATTGTTTTGAAACTTAGCATGCATGTAAATACCTTCTTTATCGTTACAAAATGTGTAGTTTGCACTCAATCGTTAGACATGTTTGTGTTGTTTCGGTCATTCGAAGTTCAAGTTCAGCTCGCATTCACTAGCACCGCGTGGAAACAGTACACATTTAGGGGTGACCTGTCTCGGAAACATCTTCGCACAACATCTTCGATTTTTCACAAAATCGGTGTTAAAAAGACCGCAAAGACTTGCTCTAACAACTGCTACAGGCTCAGCCCCTGAAAAAAAAAATACTGCAGCAATATAGTTAAACAAATTCGAAGGAAGGGGTCAATTCCGCCCTGGCTCTTTAAGGTCAAGTCTAAATGCACAGGACGCTTGATTTCAACAGGTATGTGTTGCATTATAGACGACCTCATAAGTACTTCAAAAGTATGGTTTCACTCTAAATCACAAGTAGGCCTATATGGCACAAACACTCCCGTGTACTAACAGGAAAGAGAAAATAAGTAAAGAATGTACGTATTTCATTTCACGGTGACAAGATATATAAAAACCTGTAAAGCAGTAATGGTTCATACCTGTGAAGTACTACACCAGTGGTTATTGTAAAGCTCTGTTCCAACTTCCCCATGAACCAAAATTGAAGCCGATAAAGTAGGAATCAAGTACAGGCGATGCGTCAATGCTTTGTTGAAAGAGCACGTTTAGTTGAATTTTAAAGAAAAGCAGTTTGGTGAATAGAGTTTGACACAAGAAATGTATTTACACAATTAAGTTTGTAACGTCAATTAAAGTTGCTGAGTGATGTTATTCAGTCGATTGGAGCTACTTTTCACGACAAGTTCACCAGTCATCACCTCTTCGAAATGTCTTTCAAAGTTAACTAACCTCCTCTGATGAGAGAATAACTACACAATCATTCGCCACAGAAACAAAAAAATAAATTCTGATTATATTTGATGTCTTACATTGCACTTCTAAATATGATCTGATAAATTTACACAACCAACTGTTGACAGTTTATTGTGCAAATCTCGCGCCTGACGTTTAAAGCCTCGCAGTCTTTCTCAGCGGCAAACCACATTTTGATTTTCTGGCATTGACGATTCACTGAGAACAGTATTTTTTGGATGCTCAAACCTTTAGAAAACCTTGCTACTTTATTGAAATCAAACAGGTCATTTCCATAACCTGTGCTTCGACTCCTGCCTCCAACTTTAACCCCAACAGTCCCCAATCCTTCACCTGTTGGAGGACTGAGGACTGTTAAGGTTAACCTCCAAGTGATTTCCGCTAATTAGAGTCTTTTTTCCCGACGTGGATATTCATCTGGATACATCTAAGTAAATCCAACACGACTGTGCCACTGTATTATTTGTCTCCAACAGTGGCACATCTAGGGCTAAATGTTGGGGGGCACCCGGGGTGTACACATTTTTTTCAAGAGGGAACCACAAGACAATAAATTGCAGCTGCATCACAACGGACATCATTCAAAGATTTCACATGCGGGGAACCGGGGAGTACCCCCCCCCCTTCCGCCACTGGTCCTCAACCCTCGGCAAAGCCTCATCACAAAATAAAACATGGCCATTATTCATAGAGGCGTGTGTCTACTGGCTAAGGTTTGCAACGCCCAAACTGGGGATGGGGTGGAATCCAGCAGCTGGTTACTGTTATGTCCCCTAGGCGAGCCATTTTACTCCCATCTGTCTCTCCCACCCAGGGCTACACATGGGCGGAGATTTATTGTCACATGTGGGGAGACGATTTCGGAAAACTCATCACAGCCTCCATCCCAAGTAAGTCCGTGGTGCAGGCTGAGGGTGCACCTACAATGACTTGAAAAGTAGGAGGGATGATTATACTGATACCCCCCCTAAAAAAGTAGGAGGGTATGTGCCCCCCCCCCCGATCTTCACCCATGTACATGGGTACTCACGAGGGCAGGGACGGTTGTGTTTGCCCGTCTCCACCTTGAAATGGCAATTATGTGGTACATTTTTCCCTACGGAGCTCAGACTGGTTTATAGGAATGTTTATACGGTCCCGTCACCAGGGGTAATAATTACATGCATAGATCACCTTGGGCACCGGTCATGGATAAACACACGTTATTACTACTTATTATTATGCCAGCTTAAATACTTCACAATGATTACGTCTGACGAGTTAATAAATACTTACAGGTGTCTCAGACCTGATGATTTGACACAGTAAAAATCCTCTTTTCGTTCCCTACACCTTCCATCATTTCTTCCCTACATGTTCGAATAACAGGAAAATCACAAATTTAAGTAGTTGCTTCTAGTAATGAAATCCTCTGGGGAAAAAAATTGGCACACTGTTTGGAGGTTTAAAAAATTGTCCCAAATTTGTAGTTTTGGCAACATACTGTTCAATATATATTTTTCCAATCCCACTTATTCTAGGGTATACGTGTGCTGGTACTTCATATACTTCGTTCACAGATACGACATATTTTAAGAATATTTTGAAATGATGCATTCACACTTTCTGATTGTGCAGTTAGCAATAAGGTTAACGTCTTCTGCGTCTTCTTCTTCGAGGGTACCGCGCATGCGTCTCCGAAACAATTCCGCATGTTCAACATGGCCGCCTCGAGACGGAGACCACCGTCATCGGAGACTTAAATTTCGATAGTTTTAGTGATTGTTCTGATATCCCGATGACAATGAAAGTCTGGTTACGTCTTTACATCCCAAAAATGTTTCTCTTAACAATAAACAGAATTACTAATACAAATTCTCCAAAACTATACCCACAAGAAAACTGAAAGAATGTAGCTGGTCCAGAGGAAAATAAAGAAACACAAAAACATGGGGGAGATTCGTTGTCCTTTCTGTCATTGTCCACAACTGTTTCGGTATGAAACCTTACCACGTAGTCAAATGCATTCTTGTGGCATGTTTAATAGCTCCATTGTATATACAACTCTCCGGCCAGTTTCTGGAAGTCGCAGAGTACAGAGGTTACATAAGCGATGATAGAATTTGCCGAACAAATTCAGCACGCTCCGTGAAAACGTCACACAATGTTTACACGCTGGTGACATGCACTTTTCTTCTTTTCCTTAATTTGCTTGGCAGCTGCGAGGAACTGGGAACAGATCATTATCTACCCAGCATTGGGGCGTACAGCCACTTTTCCCCCAGCATAACTTGGATTGTCTTTACTCAACCTCCTTATGCATTATCTTCCTCGTCTTCCAAAAGCCTCTGGGCGATTTTGGAGGGTTTCGGAGGAGTGACACTGTAATGGCAGGAAGTGTGGCTGACTGCAAAGGATGCACTCCAGTAAGGTCTTGGATTAGAGCCTTGTGTTGTTTATGCTCAGTCATGCATACATTAGCTCCTGGATTATATTTGAAATCATCTGCACTCACACTGCCTCAACATGAAGACAGGAATGGCTGGAGGATTTTGACTGAGGCAGTGGGCACCCCTTCCACAAACAAACGCACAACATAATGGAATATTGAAGCTGTATCTATTTTTGTCCAAAGGGGCAGTTGAAAGATTTTGAAGGACCGATGATGCATCCAAGCTACACGGGTCAAGGGGTCAGGGTTAACATGCCCTTCTGCCAGTGAACAGAGGAAACAGTGTTGAGTAAATTCCGCTTGCAGGGGAAGAACTGACCCGTGGCGAGGAATGTACTGCTCCCCTCCCTCGGCCTCGAGAGATGCGGTGGGAAAAACAAAACAGCACAGTGGATGCTCACAGCCTCAAAAATATGGCGGGGGGGGAGGGGAGATGCTGAGCACACAATGTGACGGAGCAGGGACAACTAAAAACGGCGGTCAGTTTTCATGGGCCTGTGGGCAAAGCTTATTTGACTGCTAGACTCGAGACATTTACTTCATCCTGGTTAGCATTCTCTTCTGTCACTGATTAATCAGACCGTCTACTCGGTATCAAGGGCAGATCTAAAACAAATTTTTGTGGGGGTGGGCAAAACTGTTTCGTAGGGGATTGGTGATGACCTACGAAAGTTGAACATTTCTTTGTGTAACCTTTCAAGGCGGTTCTGAAGGACCAGGCTTAATTTAAAGGCCTTATACACACGTTTGGCAGTAGGTGAAGTGACATAGATGTAAAAGTGCATCACTTTCTCCTTGATTTAAAAGAGCAAAAGTTTTGCTCATTTTGGGGCCTTTACTGCCCCCTGGGAAAGCCCCATAGGTTGGTGTGAGCCGTGTGCAACAACTATACATGTAGATACTTCTGCCTGACCTCTTCATAATCCGAGAAAGAACACGTTACATGTGTGCATTGAAATCAAATGGAGCAGAGCAAGTACACTAGAGGCGACTGTCGACAAAACAAGCAACTTGAACTCTTCAAAGAGATACGAGCATCAATGCAATGTGAATAGACCACTACAATTTCTTCAGTGATACCAAAGTTATGAATTTCTAATACTGACGGCATAGCACAAGAGTCCATGAGCCCGATCTGCCTTCCATGCTCTTAATAATAGGATTTCTTGCACTAAGTTGCACACACAGAGAAATAACCTTCAATAAACCGACAGTAGGAATGACTTTAGTTAATGCATCGTTAAAATGAGCCCGACATGCTGATGTCGCTGGTTTGCCGCTGCAGCGAGCGGCCCTGCCTGAACCCCTCGGCCAGCCTCAGTATGTCCGGCCTCTCCTCGAAGAACTCCACGATGGCCGACTCGGTCAGCATGGAAGCCAAGAGCTGCTCGAAGGTGACCTCCCAGGCCGGCTCGCTCTTGCTAGCCCCACTCACCGGGCACGGCAGGGTCTTTGGCCGGCATGGGCTCGCCTTCACCTGGCCAGGAGAGTCTCCAGCACCTGCGTTTCCCCGGTGGGGGATACCCCCGTCTTTGGATATTAGAAGCAGGTCTTTTGGTTGAGTAGCGTCCATTGTGTCCCCTTCTGGGGTCACGTGAATGTCCCGCATTGCGTCAGCTAATTCCATCTCGAGCGAGTCCCCTTCTACCCTCAAGTCAGTCTCAGCACTTGAAGCTGAGGTACCGTCTTCCACTTTGCTTACGTCGTCAATCATGGCGTCACCTACTCTGATATCTGAGCTCTTGTCACCTCTCAACTCGGTCAATCCCGGGACGGGCCCTGCTGCGACCAACATTTCTGAGACCTCTGACCTGCCGGTGACCTCCGAACTTTCACCCCCGTCGGAGCTTTCAGTCGGCTTGGAGCCAGTGGGCGTAATCCTCTTGAACTTCTTGCCGACCTCACCGAGTTCAAAGAGTAGAGAGCCCACTGTGGCGATGGCTCGGTAGAGCTCTTGTTCTCTAGGGTGGTCAACAAACATGTCGTACAGGGTCTTCAGGAGCTGAATGAATTGATCCTGCAGGAAAGAAAGGAAAATATAAAGTTGGAACAGATTTGATCTCAATTGCCTAAAAACCCTTCAGAACCAGTGTTTTAGTTCATCCAATCCAGTTTGTAAGAAACTCCTGAGCCCAAATTCAAGGTGCTGCTAAGGATACTGACTTTACTCCCAGAGGCTCCGCATATTTCATGAAGACAATAAAGAGTAAGCACGGCCAAAAGACTGCTGACCTTGGAGGGAAAATTTAGTGACCAAACAATGGAAATTGTACTAATGGTTAGCGAAATTTTCTGCAACAGTAAGCACCAGGAAACCGGGCCCTGTTTCTGAACATCTCAGTTTTCTGGAAGCTAATCTGGAATTGATACAGTGACGGGGTTTGAGGCTTCAGAGAAGGTTCCTGGATTTTAAAAACAACTATGGAATTAATCTGTGTCATGAGGAAACACTAATTTTGGGGGGAAAATATGTTATGTGAAGGTTTGGTAATCACTGATAGCAACTGTCTCTTAACAATGCACAATAGTAACAGCATTTGCTTTCTGTGTCAGAATCTATAATCACAAAAAATCCTCAAATAGCTAAGACGATCTCTGTTTCAGTCATTATTTTCTCCATTTTTACATCAGTTCCTGAAGAGGTGAGCAATGTCAGTCAAAATGATCGACAATGATGAACCCTCGCTTGGTGCATCTGCCCCCACCCACGGAGCACCCTCAACTGCGACTGCACGGACCCACTGCAAGTACCTGGTTGATGCGAGGCAAGTGCTTGAAGCTCTTCTGTCGCTCCTTCTCCTCCTGCTCCCGTTCCCACTTCCTGAGGTAGTAGCGATAGCCCTCCCTCTCCGCATCTATGCTGTCTTTTTCTGTTACAATCAGCAAAATGGGATTTCAGCCCTCAGAAAAAAATCAAAGAATCTGACTCTAAGCCTAACCCTAACTCTAACCCTTGTCAGGTTCTTCAGAATCTGTGGGAGAGTCTTTAAACATTCTTCAAACCGGCATAGGCAAAGCTGAGTCATCACCTTTTATCAGATATGGATTCTCAAATACTGTCACTGTTTCCACAAACTGCTGCACAGCTAATGGTAATGTTGGATTTCCTTTGTAATAAAGGCATCCAAGGCAAAGGCACATGCTTGTTGGAAGTTGCACCACAAAGAACGTGTACGTGATTCCTACACCGAGACGGAATGCAGAAGATTCAAAGAATTTTCAAACCAATATACAAAGAAACTCTAGGCTTTTGGTCAATGACTACAATATCGTAGAAAAATTAAAACTGCGCTTGTTAGGCAACAGACACAGGGCTGTTTTCGCTTTTTTTGAGAAATGTTTGCGGAATTTCACGGTGACAGGTTGAAGCCATTTTGCTTTACTGTTGTGATGATATGACACACTGTGAAACATTCATTAATGCGGTGGTGCCACATGATGACATTATCCTGATGTGTTGTGGGTTCATGCCATGTTTCAGCAACGTCAGACCAACAGGTGCAGAGTAAATGGCCTGCAAAAATGTAACTTTGCCGGCTTGTCCCTTACTCATCACAATGTCATGATTTGGCATGCATATTCATATGTGGGTCTAAAGTAACTACAAAGTTTGATGGCAAATCACATTCGAAGAAAGTCACCAAATGTGTTATGGGATGAAGATAGGGTTACGCTATGGGATTTGTGGTAGAAGAAGACACCAAAAGAGAGAAGAAAAACTCTTCGCAAAAACAAAAGCTGTTCCGGCTGGTGTGCCAAAACAGTTATTTGAAAACTAAAACAGGACTCCTTCTTTGCTCATATCCTCAAAATTCTGTCAGACACAACATTCATGCATTATGGATTCTGGTGATATATCCATCTTATCTCAAACAGGAAACACAGTGAGCATCCTACCCTGTGGTTGTTCTCCCTCTAACAACACTGTCTGAAGCTCATCCCCTGTGGGGTCAAAGACGTCTCCCCTCCCATGAACTTGTGATTCCTCGTCCTCACTTTTGTTCTCTTCTGGTGGGGCCTTTTTGGGGGAGTCTGAGGGCGACTGACCTGGAGTGTGCTTAGGGGTTTGCTCTGACTTCTCTTGGCTCTCACTGGTGGACTGGCTGAGTGGGTGTCCTCCCTGACCAACAGGAAACAGAGAACCATGAAGAGGAGTACAGAAACAAATGGTACAGCAGCTTTTATTGGATAAGACCCATATCTGCTCGAATCACACAGGATCCATGCTGTGATTTTTTTTCTCTTCAAGTGCAATTTTTCTTATATTCAAAACCTAGCCTCCTGTTGAGAACTGAAACAACATACTGACAATGAAAAGACATTTCAGACAGAGAAAAATATGCAACACTTCCAATTTTTAGCACTGTGGTGGCTATATTTATACTGAGGTCTCCTGCTAGTATGACATCACACATTTGCTCATGAATATGCAATTTGAACTACCACAAAACCCAAAACAGCTTCTAAGGGCCCTCTAAGTGGGCAAATAGAAATTAAAAATAGGATTTCCTTGGACATAAAGGTGCATTTTCATGGAACTGGTTACCTTCGATTGGGCGTAACACACTCCCAAATCTCAGGGTTGTCTTGGTGAAATACCTTGGTTAAGGACTCTGACAGCGCGTGTACGAAGCTTGAGACTTCTTGGACACGAGGCATGTGACTACAAAAGACATAGAAAACAATGGGAGCAGTTTCTCACCGGAGCCTGCTCGACAGTGGGCGTCTTCATCGAGCTCTCAAAATACTCCTCGGCATCGACGGCCGGTTCCACTTCATCCTGGTCCTCGTCAGGTGACGGCTGGCCGACCGTGCTGGCTTCATCTGAGGAGAAATCAGAGTAGTGCAATCTCTACCAGGGAATGAAGACACTGTAGGGCCACAGTTTTATCCATGTGCAGTCAAACACATTAAATACAAGCTCAGAGAGATAATCTAAAAACCTTGTTGCATCCTGCATGAGTATGCATTTTGTTGAATCCTTATGTTGTAATTTTAATGCAAAAGCTCCCCTTCTGGTTTCCTGGCACCCTGCTCAATCCAGCTGAATGCAACACCCTAAAAGCACGAAGCCATGCTGACTTATGACTGGTTCCCAGCCTCGGCTCGCTCAGCAACAAACTTACTACACAGCATCCTCTATTCAGCAGCTCTCTGCCTTGAGCAAAGCATCCCCTCAAAGCTAACAAGGAGCCATGTAGGTGGGGAGTGTTAAACGGCTGCATTAAAATCCGCCACCTACGGCTAGGTCTAGGTCTTTGCTATATTACAGATGCGTGTGAAGACAAACTAACGACAGACATTAGCTGTAGCTCTAGAAGCCCGTTTCGGGGCAAGGCCTTAATACACCATCCTAAAGCCTCATTTCCGCTGCACTATTGTCCATAAAAAATGGCATGTGAAAAGGAATCAGAAGCAGTCTATTCATGACCTCTGGTAAAGAGTGTCAGAGTGAATACATACCGCACACAATTACATGTGTAAAAGGCATTAGTGCATGAACCTGTGCATGACCCAACACGAATGCGTACTCCATTCGTCTGCACTGAACTTCCTGGTTCAAAGTGACTTCATGATTACTCGTTCCGTAGCGAGAGCATTTCCCATCAAAGGAGCCACCACTGCTGGGAACGTTGCGTCCTCTCTTGGACTGGTTTGGGAAGGATACAAAATGGGGCCCCCGGTTCTGAAAAAAAAAATGTACAGTCAACCTGTTTGAGAGTCCCCGGCGATGCTCTCCATGTCTTCCGGAAGCAGTGCTGGCGGCAGATGCAGCCGGTACAGCAGCCGCAGCCGCTCGGGAAGCTCGCTCCGGCACATGACACCCAGGCCCCAAGAAAACTCCCGGAAGTTGATCAGGTTGTCACGGTCCTCGTCCAGGAGCTATGGAAACCAAATAGGAAGTCTGTATGTTGGCAAGCTGACAAGGATTTAAGTGACAGCTGATTGCCAGTTGAAGGCAGAGATGGACAGAATTGAGTGGAATGAGCATTGTTTGGTGAAAACTTGACGAGTTTTTCTTTTTATAACAGAAACGTTTAGAACAGGATCTCTTGAGTCAAGAACTTGCGACTACCGGGGTACCCTAAAGTATTTGTCTCCCTAAATGAATGCTTCTTGTAAAATTTATTCAAAATGGCATGGAGCGTAGCTCTGGATAGTTTGCCTGTAGGATCTGAAAATGAGTTGCATGACCCAGGAAATATACATGTACCTTGGGGAAAGATTTGAAGGTTCTGGCATTATCTTGGACATCTAAGGAGTAGGATATCAAGGTGTGAAACATAATCCAGGATACCTAGGTGTTGGATGTGAAGGTGTGTGACACAACCTAAGATATCCTGGGTGTGGGATCTNAGTTCTGAAAAAAAAAATGTACAGCCAACCTGTTTGAGAGTCCCCGGCGATGCTCTCCATGTCTTCCGGAAGCAGTGCTGGCGGCAGATGCAGCCGGTACAGCAGCCGCAGCCGCTCGGGAAGCTCGCTCCGGCACATGACACCCAGGCCCCAAGAAAACTCCCGGAAGTTGATCAGGTTGTCACGGTCCTCGTCCAGGAGCTATGGAAACCAAACAGGAAGTCTGTATGTTGGCAAGCTGACAAGGATTTTAGTGACAGCTGATTGCCAGTTGAAGGGAGAGATGGACAGAATTGAGTGGAATGAGCATTGTTTGGTGAAAACTTGACAAGTTTTTCTTTAAACCAAAACATTTAGAACAGGATCTCTTGAGTCAAGAACTTGCGACTACTGGGGTACCCTAAAGTATCTGTCTCCCTAAATGAATGCTTCTTGTAAAATTTATTCAAAATGGCATAGAGCGTAGCTCTGGATAGTTTGCCTGTAGGATCTGAAAATGAGTTGCATGACCCAGGAAATATACATGTACCTTGGGGAAAGATTTGAAAGTTCTGGCATTATCTTGGACATCTAAGGAGTAGGATATCAAGGTGTGAAACATAATCCAGGATACCTAGGTGTTGGATGTGAAGGTGTGTGACACAACCTAAGATATCCTGGGTGCAGGATCTGAAGGTGTTCGGTGTACTTAAGCATCTTTTATGATCAGAGTAAATGTTTTCAGCAGATGTACATGTGTTAATCAATACCCTAAATGCCCTGAGAGCTAGGAGGTCAGCTTGGGTGCCGCAAGCCCAAGGCGAGAAGGTGAGAAACAGGGTGCGAAACTTCTCCAGGTCGATCTTGAAGGTGGCCAGGAAGTGCTGGGTCTGGTCTAGGACGGGGGCTCCGGACAGCATGTTGCTGGTCAGATATTCCTCCTGCAAGATCAACGCGGACCAAATTCCACTTAGCACAGAATTGCTTTGCTAAGCATTGATGGGTCCATGGTTAGAATGCCACGTTTTGTATGCTGCCTGTAGTTTAGTATCTGGTTCATTTGTGCTTGGTAAACAGATCTGGTAAGATCACCTGCCTGCCGGCGGGACTAGCTTATTCCCACACGGAGCTTTGAGCACTCACTCAGTGACCTGTCTTTATTGCGACTTTCACTTCAGTCCTTGAGTGCTAATTTGATGAACGAAACAGGTCCACATACTGCAAGCTGTGCAAACCCTGTAAGGTTGTCCTCTTTCTGACAGTCTTAGAGGCATGTCAGAGTTAGAGTTATTATGTATAAGGACAAGAAACAGCTGAGGAACTATAACAAAAATCCAGCTTAAAGTGTGTTCACAGTGTAAGAAAATGAGTGTTTTCCCTCAGTTCTCTTAACCTACACCCCAGCAGAAGCATGTCCATACTTGGTATACAACATGAACGTCTGTCCTCCTTATAATGTACCTTTGATCTTTCAACTGTAAAAGGTATATAAATTTTATCATTAGTGTCATGCATAATCCAAAGCGAATAGTTTTCTGTGCTTGGTGTATTCTGGGGCTAATTTCACAGAGCTGCTTAAGCACAAAATTTGCTTAAGCACGAAAAAACCTTGCTTGATAAATAAAGTAACCAGCCAAAACTCCATGTGATGTGCATTGTTCTGGGATTGCATTTAGCTGTTTTTTGGTTAGCATGACAATCAGATAGTGTTTGAGCTGGTAACCTTGGTTTATTAAGCAAAGTTTTTTCCCGCTTAAGCAAATTTTGTGCTTATATATGCAGGTCTATGAATTTGGCCCCTGGTTTTAACGGCTTCTGGGTACTGGCCTTGAAGATGGTGTAGAGGTCCTCTAGCTCCTCCATGTTGAAGGGCACCTCCCCGACCAAGCTACGGACGACCGTGCGGCGGGCCGTGTCCTCCAGGCCTTGCACCACCCGCAGCCGCTGGTTGAGCCTCATCTTCTTGATCTGGTCGGTGCGGATGTAGCCATACTTGGCGTAGGCTGTGTGGATGAGGTCTGAGACGTCAATGTCCGGCTGCGGAGAGAGGCAGTGGATTGAGGGGCATCTGGTTAAGCAGGTATAATCTGATTCATACGGTCGCGAGCGCTCTGTCCAGTATTCGACTACATATTGCCGAATCTCAGAAAAAGCTGTAGCTGACAGAAACAGACTTTCAGACTCCTTAATATGAACACTATCAAAATTAACCGGCCAGGAACACTCGTGGGTTAGGGAGCATCTCATAATTCAGAGCAGTATGAATATTTACATTGGAATGACTGGTTTTCATTCCGTTTCACCTTAAGGGGTCTGTCTACTACAGCTGTGCGACATTGTCTCAACGTGTCAAAGTGCCTATGCAGTAAGAAATGTCCTGGGATTGACCTTGGACAAATGACCACCAGCGTCTGTAAGGTCCAACTTTTCAAAAGGACTGCGGTTGCCGTATCCTATCATTTTAAAAAGTCGGTATGTTTGGCCAACAATAACACTATACATGAGACAAGTTCCTGGTTTAACACCATCAAAAAGTGGTTTGAAACTGTACTCATGGGATCCAGTTATCTTGGGGGCTATGCACCTTTCGCTCGATGGTCATAGCCGTGAGTGTGGATGTGTGGGGCATGCTGGGCGCCGTGGCATCTTTGTTCTGGACACTCTCCAGGTACGTGGTCAGCACCGTCATGGCAGTGCCGTCGTCCTCACACTTCATCAGGGCATCTTGGTTGGCGTCCAGCACGGCCAGGGCGATCTGGAAGATGAACCGGGCGCCGTCGTAGAAGAAGCAGTCCATGATGTTAACGGCGCTCTCAAATGGCATGACACTGTTCAAAGAAATAAAAAATGCATATGACAAACTGAAGGCATAACTGTGCACTGAAATAGACATGTACATTGATAACTCAGAAAAAACACAACCGAGCTAAAAGGCTTTGATTTTTTCAAGGAAAAAGAGAAAAACAAATTGTAAGGGTGGGATGGGATGACATGAGGTGGGGGTGGAATGGGGTGAGATGAGGTGGGGGTGGAATGGGGTGAGATGAGGTGGGGGTGGAATGGGGTGAGATGAGGTGGGGGGGGAA